ATTTTACTTCTTGGTGTAAGGAGCCTAAACCAAGTTAAATGAAGGGTACCCAGAATGTGGTGTGCGTTGAAATTGACCTTGACGCTCGCACACTTATGGGAGTTTACACCGTATTGGCCATATGAATATTTTTATGCGCAATAGTTTACCGATGTCGTTTTTACTGTCATGACTTGAAACGTAAACATCCTCATTACTACCATAGTGTCACACACAGTAACTACACACACAATAATAAAACTACATAGTGGTAAATACTTCGGATGAAGTGGGGCTTTTTGGCGCGTATGGTTTAGCTTCCTCGACTATGACCTGATACGATAGAAGCTTGTTTGAAGTACTACCTAGAAGGACAGAAGTAGGTACCTTATGGAGCTGATGAAATGGAGCTGTATGGCCTGTGGGAGCCTATCTTGTGCGGGGGTTCACGCCGGTCGTGATATCTAGCAATTGACTGAAGCACTTTCTTCAGAGGTTACTGATAGAGGAACTCAGATTTGCAAGCTTACTCGGCAATCTCGGAGCATTTGCCCCTTGCCATCGAAAAGAGGTGCATTGATTTGACACGAATTTTAGCCACCCGTTCTAGTCACTGATTTTTTACAGCATAGCGGTGCTGAGCCGGGACGAAACTGCCTAGCGACGAAACTGGTAGCTAGCCGTTTGATCGTGGCTTTGTTTGTTTTGTAGAGTTAGCCCGCGCCCCACTGGGGTCTGTGTATAACACGCCCTACTGGGGGGGGGGGGCTATTCATAGCCCCCCCTCCTAACTCCGAAACTACTGGGCCGATCGTCAAAATTCAAACGGCGTCTGATAGCCCCGGAAAAACTGTCGAGCGAAACCTAATTTCATTGACCTCGAGGTCACCAATGACGTCACAGGTCAGGTCAAAGTAAAAATTATTAGCACTTTGGCTTGTTCACATTTTGGGCTCTGGCCGCCGTCTTACAAGTCAGATCAGGCTCATTTTTGGTTTCCACACTCGTGAACAGATGCTCTAGATACCTTGAGGGTACCAAACTTGTACTTTGATTTTCAGGTCAGGGTCAGGTCATCACAGGTCACGAAAATATTATATCATGCGTCGGTCACGTGACACATGTTTTATGGTACATTTAGGCCATATATTTCGAATTTGATGTCGTCTATGTCATTCGAGGTCATTTTGAGTCGAATTTAGCTTAGGTCAGGTCACTTTCAGGTCAAAAAAGGTCAAATTTTGAAGTTGAAATTTTTCAACAGAAAAGGTGTCTATTGGATGCAGTTTGAGCTCAGGAACACGATGGTGCCATTTATATTGGTGTACGATGCCAAATACGTACTGAAAAATTGATTTGAAAAATTAATAATTGTGAATTTTTTGCAATAATGCGTATAACTTGGCCATTTTTGAAGATATTTAGCTAAAACTTGCTAGAGTTAGTCATAATCATGCGTTCTGTCACATATATTCCGGTTTTTGCGAAAAGTCAAAAACCTTTTGAAAAAAATATAAAAATATAAATTTTGAATATTATTATATAAAATTTTCCGAATTTTCAAAATTTTGAAAATCCGAGATAGCAGTTTGATAGCGCGATCAATTCTGAGTTCTTTCATGCAAAGAAATTGGATCTAGCTTAAAAACTGAGCTCTTGGGAGCGATTGCCGTGGTTCAATGTTTTGCGTCGAAATCGGACGAACATGACGTCACTCTGACGTCATTTCCGGCCGACCTATGGTAGCTACGAAGTTCAAATTTTGACACAAGGTGTCAAATTGATGCAGCCGAAGGTACTGAAAGTTTGGCGTCGATCCGTCAAGCGGTTTGGAAGTTATTGCAGAAAAACGGGAGGGGGGGCTATAAATAGCCCCCCCCCCCCAGTGGGGCGCGGGTTAGGCCATTTCGGTCTGACAAGACTTTTCGAGAGCCGGAAGAATGCAAGGAGTTAAGGGGAGACATTGCACACTGCCGCTATCAGGGTTTGGATGTGGCCAAAATGAAATAGCTCGCTAACCAATGGACATATTTTTATGAAATTTTCAGGGTATGTGAAGGCATCTATAAGGCAGATTTTGTAAGCGTATGAGCTTACATGAAAGTCCAGTATTTCTATAATTTAACAATTATCAATATCTCTTGTTGCCAGGGGGGTTGAGGCAAAATGGTTTTGTAAATAGTTGTGAATTACGCTTGTGGATAAGGCTAAAACGTGGCCTACATTTGTATGCATGCCTCTTAAACATCCCCTAAAATTTTTAGCTCCCTGTCAGGTAAGATAGCTGAGTTGTGACGTCATATATATTAGGTCTGACTCGATCCAAATCAGTACAATTTTGTCAACTCTTATATCGATGTTAGCTGTTTGGCTTTCGAATACATATTTCTGCATTGAAAGCTAGATAAATTAATTTTCCTAAGTCACCCGTGATGAGGTCTGTCACGTGACCTCACTATTATAAGTCAATGGGGGAAATATGGAAATTATTATTTTGCCACCGGTAATGATCTGAAGCTAGCTTAAGCACACACAATCGTGAGTTCATGCATTCCTTGCAAGGTCCGATGCTTCACTTTGGCATTGTTGGCCTTGCGTGACGTCATTTATGACGTCATCAGGGTCATAACAGTTTTTCGGCAATTACTCCCGATCCATTTGAGCTAGCGAATAGAAAAAGCCACCACTGGACTCGGGAAGACCTGCCAAATCGAATGATGTGCAATATGACATCCTTCGACCAACTTCGTGACCTGGAGGGCTCTGACCTGACCTTGTCCGGAGATCAATACCTTACGTTGACCTCTTAACACCTTACTGCTCATCCGAACAAAAAGTATACATTCGACACGCCTGAGCTAGGCAAAGGGGATGGTGCCAAAAATTGCGACTCTGTGACCATTTTTGACGAAGTTATTAACCAGCAACCAAACCCGTACCTTGGAGCACTTGACCTGCCCTCAGAGGTCATCGGTTGACCTTTGAAATTGATTACCAAATACTGCGTCTGTAACGGCGCATACGATCTTTTTTTCCGCGATGCTCTAGCTCAATTAGCAGCGAAACGGTGATCTTTCTATAGAAGAACCTGGCAGAAAATCCCCTCAAATTTACTCAAAAATACCATTATAGTTTTGGTCTCGCTGAACATGACAACACGACGAACTTCGAAAGCTCTCCCAGCTACATCAGAATGTCAAATATTTTTTTTGAAATATTGTTCCGTGTGGCATCATCAATTTATGACACGGAAAGTAAAGTCAAAGAAAAACACGTTTTAAAAAATGTCGGAAAATATGGTATTGGCCAGGGCCACTTCTCAACCCAGATAACGGCTGTGTGCATTGGTCTGGGCGGGCGCCGGGCTGCGCCGCCGGGGCTGAGCCCGTCCAGTGCAATGGACTGGCCGCCCAGCCCCGCTAACGTTCACCCCACCACACGATGAGCCTGCACAGTCATGAGGAGCTACCTATTTCCATTCCAGTGTTGTGGCCGAAGCTGTGGTATTCTGGCCACTCTAATGACCCGGCAGTATACCGGCCGACCCAGGTGACTGCAGCGACCCGAGGACCAAATACAGTTGTCTGAGACTTGAACTAGAGTGTGGTCTGCAGTCCGAGTGCGATCCAAACACTACCCACGTCGGATACAGGTGACCGTCACCGTTCCGTGCTTCTATCCTCAGGATACTGAAATCCTTCTCCTCCACGCCGCAACCCCCCTCCGGGCTGGACAGGCAACTTTATCTCATGCGGGCTGCTCCCTTGGAGCGGCACCGCTGCTCCCGAGGGGGCGCACCCCGTAGCCGGGTGCAGTGAGTGCCTTGGGGCTGGGTGGCCTGTCCTCTGGACGGGCTCAGCCCCGGCGACTCACTAGGATGCCTGCCCAGACCAATGTCTCCCCCTATATCCTATCATCCTCCCGGCTCTGCAATGATCTCATTGGACCGAAAGGGCCTAACCCAACAAAACAAAACAAACAAACAAACAAAGGTGACCGTCCAGACGGGATCAGGGGATTTGAGGCGTGAAGCATTTTGCTGCTTTGGGGATGCAAAATGACGGAACGTTCGGATCCTGGCTTAATTTCGGCCCAACCTCGCGATCCGCTTATGGCATCGGGTCTGGTAGGTTGTTGCAAAGGCCTGAAAAGAAATCGCTTACCTAAGCTACAGATAACAGTAGTACTGTTCTGTTGTAGGTGCTGTTTTCTGTGCCTAAGCTAATGTCGGGTAAACCGATGATGGACTCGTTAGAAATTCGTCCTGCTGGGAGATAAGCGTTTTAGTGCGCTTTTGGGTGCTGGTGGGTGGGTGTAGACTGATGGGTGCCTGCATCGGTGCGTCGTGCGTGTGTGAGTGAACAGTTGCGTGTGTGTATGTATGTGGGGGCGGGTGTGCGCGCGTATGTGTCCCTTACGGTCATCTGAGGTCATCCAAGTTTTTGCGAATAGTTTATAAATCAGCTAGGGAGTAGTGAAAGGTACTAATTAATTCAGAATGAGCTGCTGAATCGAATGATGTGCAGTATGACCTCCTTTGACCTTGACATGACCCGCAACATGACTTTAACTTACGGACGTATGCGGCCTTGACCTGACCTTGATCTAAGGTAAACACTCAGTTTCAGTTCGATACTCGTACAAAAAGTATGTGATTCGAAGCGGCTGGAAAACAGAAACGCTATTGTGTAAAAGTCGTTGTAAGACCATTTTTGCAAAGTTATTTACCGAGAACAATAAACATGTAAACAAAAACCTAAGTTTGCTCTCTGATGTCACCGGTTGACGCTGGACCTTAAAAATGCATGCAACACTGTTCCGCATTCTGTAACCTGGGGATGTCAGCCGCTGTGTCTCGTAACGGCGCACGCATACTCTTACTGTCTTTGTTTTTATTATATTTCAGCTTATAACATAAGTACCTACATCTGCATCATATCATACCTATAGATCGCCTGCGGTAATCACAGCCCGATTTCGTACCAACCTGCACTAATGCATAGCGCACAAGAAAGCATGGACACATTTTCTTGGACGTGTATTACAGTGAATGTCAGCTTGTTGTACTTACCTACTTGTACCTATTTCTGTATCACATACAGTGACGAAACTGCATTGCATTGCCTGCATTGCCTGCAGTTGACACGCATCATATTACCCCGCAAGCACATCAAATCAAGCTCCATACGCATCAACTTTACCTATTTTACGATAAATGCACTGAATCAAATCAATATGAAAACGTCTGAAGTTAATATCGTAACCCTTTAGCGTAAGTAATCTTAGACGGGTAAAATCTATGTAACTATAAGTTATAAGTTATAGTTAGGATTTTCACGAAACACAGCTGTTTTCCGTATTATTTATGCAAATGAACATCAGCTTTACGCTAACCGGCTGGAAATTAAACGGATTACGAGTGAAGGTTATCCCGGGTAGGTCAGATTCGGTATCATTCATTCTGCAAATAATGTCATTGCTACATCTCCCTGGGCGTCAACTGAGGCCTGAGATCTAGGCTGATTCATAAAGTAGGTAACATTAAATGACGGCGACGGCCAGATGAGACGTTAACGTCACCAGACGATGATCACAAGCCCTTGCACGTCCGACACAAAGGAGCCACCCGTTGATTGCTGGTGCCGCTGGCAGAGAGAAGCCTGCAGGTCTGCGACGTCTTCCACTCGACCATCCCACGGGTCAACGCTCAGGCCAACTTAGCAACATGCATTCCTCCCAGAAGTGCAGCTGCGTTGAATGGTATCCAGCCCTTGATCCAGCCCGGAACTACATCCAGGGCTTTGATGATGACATCCTTCGCCGCGCTGATCCCGTGTTTGACGAGCTCACAAAATTCATGAAAACAGTATTTGATGGCATCGCAGGGAAGGCCGACTACTTGAACAACACCGTCTTTCAGAAGTTGCACAGTGCACACAGCGCCGCCCACTGCTACCTTAAAGGCAGATACGCAGGCATTTAACCTATCAGCATCCAGACTAAATAACCATGTCTGAAGGTCCATGTTTCTTCAATACAGAACCTGGAAAAGAATTTCGAGTGTCAGATCCTCTCACGAACTAAACTTAATTAGGATAGGGTGTCTTGCTAAAACCTCTGTTAGGTACCTAGGAAGATGATGCTAGTTGGTGCCTTGGGAATGTTGGGACGGAAGGTATATTTCCAACACAAACTTCCGACAGATGCCAATCAGTAAGTGCCATAAGTCATAACACAACACATGTCAGGTAGGTATGTACCTACTAGGCAGCGTCTTCGTCTGCACAACTAAATTATCAGACTTGGCTTAAGCCCCTAGTCGCTAGAATTATTTGGGTAGGTTTTGCAAGTGTTTATTTTACCTTCCTTTACAAATATTTTCTTCCAACTCCTAATGTCACTTGTTATTTATAATGGAAGCAGTGTGAATTCTTCGGCTCAAGAACGTTTATGGTATTAAGAATAGTTGGCAGTTGGCACTGCTACTCATACCATATAGGGGAGACCCGGGAAGTATGGGCCCCCTGGGCCCGATTTCACCAAGTGAATATATTCTATTACGGCGGCGTACATATTCACTTTTGGCATATTATGACATATTCAGTTTCACCAAACTCCGTACAGGGATACTTATTCAAGACAAAGACAAAGTATGACTGCAGAAGTCCGTCGTTTTTTGGCATACTATTACGTTTGAGGTACTTCTGGTACGCCGATCTGCTTTTTCAACAGCTGTTTGCCGAGTTTGCTGGCATTGAAAGTATGCTACTTTTTGTGGCATACTTTGAGAAAACAGCTTGGCATACATCAATTTTTTTGTATGATAATGTTACAAATTTAATGACTTCATCGATGCAACGTATGATAAAAACATGCCACTGGCTACGCAAAAAGTTTTAGAGGTCATAATGGTTATTTCTTGCTGGATATATAGGGTATCGTGTGTCAGGGCTTATATTGAAATTAAACCCCAGAACAGCTATTTTTATAAGGCTTATCTCATCGTGGCATCACTGCGATTAAAGTCACCCCATCATGCAGAAACACAACAGGGAATTCCCTTTTTCATTCGCATTCCCGATTACCTACATTATTGAGTTTTCCACTTAAAAAAAACGACAGTTCACATTGTATTTTGATACCACAAAAGGCCAAAAGCGTTTCAAATCTTTCTCACCGTGATTATTACACCGTGCTCTTTATACAGCGTTTTACCGAAGAGAAAGTAAATAGCTGGCGAGGGCGAGAGGAAGAACTGAAGTCCAGTCTAGCAACGCCTTGATTGACATGCCCAGCATGTTGCATCACAAGTCACAACGCTTCATTACATTCGTTTTCATCGCCCACTTTTACTATTTCTTTGCAGTATCCATATGCTGTCCAATGTCCATATTTCTCTTGTGTTGTGGCCAAATGATTCAATTTATCACCGGCTTCCCGCTTCCGTTTAGGTTCAGAGAATGATTCCGAAATATTCTCCATATTTGAAGTCGTCGGTAGACCCTTCGATTATTTAAAAACTTGATTCAGGTAATATTTCAGATAACTTGTCGGCTAGTCGGCCGTGCTCCTTGCTACCATCAGTGATTGGTAGTTAGATAGGTGCCTCAAGTAATGTCATTTCTTGTTCGGCTTTATTTATATTTGCTCTAAACCACTCCAGAATTGCGTAGAAGATGTGAGCAAATATTAAAGCAATATTTAATGAGAAGTCACTTGGAAGAAAAAATTAATATTAATTCAAAATCCAATAAAACCCACACACGCCAGTAACTCCACCCAACTCCACCTGTGCTTCGCGGCTTGCTGCCGATTGTTTACATTTTGGCTTTGGAATGTCATGCTCCGAGCAAAAATCAAGAGCATTATTAGCAATATTTCCTTAGGCACTTCCTCTTGTATGATCAGCAAATTTAATTCTTATTAGCGTAGCCAGAATTTTTCATAATATTGTATATCTGAGCATTTAAGCTCGTCGACTTTAAATACGGAAAAATATACATAGTGAATGCATGTCCCCGACAAGATGTATGCATGCGCGCCGGTGGCTCTCAAACTACGTGAAGCGGGCGTAGTGAATATATTCCTGTGGTGAAACAGAATAGTATTGTCGTCGTACTTTGTCGGTGTACTTTTCCAAAGTACACCAAGAATATATTCACTTGGTGAAATCGGGCCGAGGTATGGGCCATCGCAGTTTTGAAGAAGTGTTGCGTGTTTTTACACATTTGACCGCGTAAACTGGTAGCAGCCATTCCGTTATACAACCCACGTGATTTTCAAAATTGTCCTCAATCTTCTTTGGCAATGAGCGGTGATAAAGCGTTTTTGCCCTCTTCGAGTAAACTACTGTACATACAGGAAATTCGTGATGAATTTGAACCAGGCTCGTTATATGATGTCAGACCAATGCTAACATTAAGTTTAAAGCATGCAAATTAAGGCTGGATAGACAATTTGAAGCTTTCTTGCAAGATTATGAGCTGAGATGCTACGCAAATTCTGGCGTCCTAACCGGGAGGTTCGGGCCATCCACCCCCGTTGATCATAAATCAATAAAAAGATGCTTTCATTGAGTGTCATCTTCAATGAGTTTTATTTTTGTCGCGCAAGGTTGAAAATTTAGCTTCAAATTTCATTCGAACAGAAAAATATTATATATTTTATTTCATGGTGCATGATTGAGTTTACCAAAATACCTACATACGTGCCCAAGTGACCTCCATGAAGTAAGCTGTTCGCCGCTTATGCGGTTCCTGGGCTCTAAGAGAGATCAAGGTAGATACCAGCTACGAGTATTGTTCTCATTGTCGAGAAAAGGATATGAAACATGGCACCGGCCCATACCTCCCGGGCCATGGCCCATACCTCCCGGTGTATTTTGATGGATCGAAAAAGCGCATGATTTATTAAAAGTTATCTTGAGACAAAATAGTTGATCCCTGATGCCTAATATCAGGCACACTTTGCAGGCGAAAGGCAATTTCACGTGCACAGAGTGAAAAACCGGATGCAGCCACTGCCCACTGGAAGAAAATTGCCTTTTCACAAAACCGGCCCATACCTCCCGGGTCTCCCCTACGGCCTTGCTCATACCTAAACAATACGCAACTTGTAGAAAACCAGCTTTGGGTTGGCAAGACTGCAAATTTGATTGAGGCAAGAATGCATGACAAGGTGATCTTAGGCGTCCTAACTTATTAGGATAAGTTTGGAAACGGGATGCGTCATTCGATGCGTTTTGGGCTTTACCAAGTTTCGCGGCGTTACGTGCCTCGATTTTTTTTTCATACACGATCAGTAACTACTTGTGGGGTTTTCGGTCAGTCGATCCGTCCCCCCCCCCCCCGGCTATCAAAAACCCGTGGCGCCGCCCCTGGATATGATTGTGCGAAAGGCTTGTACCTAACTGGTACCAAACTGTTTGCCTGGTCAGGACGCGTTGATTGGTATATCTAGCGTGACCCTCTTGGGTCATCTTATGAATTCCTAGGTCAATTTTTTAAGTTGACCTGACCTGTTACCCTAAGTTACTATTTTCAAAACATTTTATTTTTTATGACCTCTGATGGCCTCAATATTGACCTGAACCAGAAAATTGTGTGTAAAAGTTGTAGGTCTTTCAGCGAAATATCAAACGCATTTTACCGTTTGTCGCTCCGATTCCTGGTTTTCGAGATCTGAGGGAGGGGGGGGGGGCAAAAAGGCCCCTGCCCGATTCCGAATCTTTCAGAGCCCGCCCGGAATAGGGTTAAGTGAACTTGAAACTTCACTAAAAATTAAGTGAACTTAAATTAATTAATTAAGCTCATAAGTTCATAAGTTCTTCAACATGCATCATATCGCATACCAGTAAAACGCCTTTTGGGCGAAGGACGAGCGAGCGAGATAGTGTGCCCTGCACGTGCGGAAGGGCGAGAGGAATTTGAACGCAATCGGCCCAGCCGTTCCTGAGATCTGGAAGCGGCATTCTGCACGTGCGCACGTGCAAACGGGGTCCAAACTGACTTTTGCACTGCAGCCTACTAACCAGTCCCCAACCGTGTACCAAATTTGAGCGCAATCGGCCCAGCCGTTCTCGAGATCTGGAAGCGCCCCGCACGTGCAGTAGCACCCTAACCGCAACACATGGGAATGAATTGCCTGGTGGGTGCCTACATGTATGCCAAGTTTCAGCTAAATCGCCCGAGTAATTACCGAGTTATTGAAATGGGAACAAATTTGGCACCTCTTCGTTTTGTATTTTGCACGTGCAGTAGGGGTCACTCACATAGATCAAGAGTATCCTACCTTTGGTAGAAGGGATGCAGCTACCCTACAAAAATTACCGCAAGACCATCGCCCTAGCGGCTGCTGAGATATGAGCCTCTCAAAATCACTACTTTTGCAAAACAGCTTGAACACCCTTGACTTTTCACGTGGCACGTGCCACGACGGTCACTGAGATGTGTCAAAAGTAGTCAATAACGGGGTAGAAAGGATGGGGCTACTCAGCAAAAAAGACCGCAGGCCAATCGGTCCAGCGGTTGCTGAGATATAAGCCTCTCAAAAGCGTTACAGGCCGGGCCGGGCCGCTCATACTGAGATTTTTCCGTTATATTGAAAAGACTTCGCTTCGCTCGCTGCGCTCGCTCGCTCGTAATCATTCGACTCGGCTGATCAGCAACACAATGCCACCATTTTTGGAGCTCTAGTCATATTGTGTGCCACCTTATTAGCAAAAACGTAGTTTGACCTCATTGGACCTCAGCTGACCCGATCCTAGCGTTCTTGCAGCATGCAAGCACCAATTATATGTAAACTAAGGTAGTACAACACAAAAACGTTGAAATGGAGCATATGTATATCTCTCATACTTTTACAATTGGAGCCATTTGGGCAAATGTCCTTAGAAGTTATCATGACCTCTAGATGATCTCAGGTCAACCGAACTTGAAAAACCGGGTTGCATGTCATGGCACTCGGCGGCAAGCTTAGCATATTCCATGCAAGTTTGTATCAAATCGATAAGCAACTCTAGATCTCATGGAAAAATAGTGTATTATTAGTGCTCTTTTGACAATGTACCGGTTTTTGTGACCTGGTGAATGAGGTCACTGGAACTGCCTGAGGTCACTGGAACTGAAAACTCCTAGGACATGTGTCAAATGAATGCCCTAAGTTGTGCCTGAAATTTGGTGGTGCTACATGTCACGGTACTACGCTATTAACCCGCGCCCTGCTGGGGGGTGTCCCCCCTTGTGTTTTTTTTTTGCAATTATCTCAAAAACAGCGGCGCGGAGCGCCGCCGTTTTTGGTACGCCTTATCATACATCAATTCTACACATGTTGTGAAAATTTCAGACCAAAGTCATTCAAGGTCAGGTCACCAGGTCACTTGAAGTGACCTCACCTCATAAAAAGTGTCAATGTCTGTCATAGCTACACCGAGTTAGGTGTAGCTATGACAGATATCGCTTTGAAAGTTTCAGCGATTGCTAAGAGCAATAGCATGTACAAAATGTATATCTCAGAATTTTGATATCGATGACCTAAGGTCAGGTCAATTTTGCGACCACCCCATTATAAGTCAATGGGAGAAAATTGAAATGCGCCTGTTTTGGACGAAAGACATTATAAACACTCCCAAACACCGAATTACAAGTGTTTTAGACACACTGAACATGAAAATGGTGTCCGTGACCCTTATTTATGCCCTGAGGTCATCTTAGGTCACGAATGGTATCTAACAGTTTTTCGCAAATAACTTTTGATAGAGGCATGCTAGAGCGATGAAAACGCCTTAGATGTGTTCAGCTCGACGATACGGATCGACTGATATGCAACATGACCCTTTCCGGTCAGGTCATGACCTTGACCTGAGGTCAAATTTTCAAGCTGACCTTTCAAGGTCAAGTTATAGTTCATTCGATGCGTCTTAACGAGAGGAACACGATGCCAGTGAAAGTAAGCTCGTACAAGGCTTGGGTCAAAAGTTATTGCAGACAAACTGTTTCCGAAAAAATCGGCTATTTTTGCAGTTTTTGCCCCCTGCAGGCAAAACCGTTGAAGTTAGGTCAAATCTGAGAGCATTAATCAGAAAGAGCGTTAATAGGGGTATCAAATGCGCTTTTCCGCGGCGCTGTAGCTCTATTGGTTCCCGAGTTATGCGTTGGCTTCTTGGAAAATTTCGACATTCGACCTGGAAATCGGCGAAATTTTGCCTTCAATGACCTCTGGTGACCTGACCTTTGACCTGACCAAAAAATTGACCGAAGTGATTTCGTCATTATTTTTGACGCTCTTTCGAACGCCGCCTTCCGCGTATCGCTACGTGGCCCAGGAGCCGAGTTACAAGGGGGGGGGGTGTTCAAACACCCCCCCCAGCAGGGCGTGGAAATCCAGGACCCCCAGCCGGGCGCGGGTTAACAAAAAAAACTTGTCATTCCGTTGACGCTAAACTAGTCCAATGTTACCCTGACCTTGTTCCGCTTTTTGTGGCCTGGTGACCTGACCTGAAATAACTGAGACCTGAAATTTTCAGAAAAGGTGTCAAAAGGTCGCTCCAGAGGGTATGCCAAATTTGGCGGTGCTACGCGCCTCCGTTTTTACGCCATTTGCGAAAAAAACCTCAGGGGGAGGGTTGTATCAACTCGCCGGGCGAGGTTTATTTTACGCATGTTTCAAAAGTTTCATGACCCTGACCCAGATGAATTTTGACCTGTGGCCTGTTTTTTTTTTTCGAGACCATGTCAGGCCCGAATTGCGATTCGCCATGTGCCCAGCACTCAGCACACATCTGTGCATTTCCAGAGTCCCAGACTTTTTGTGATTGGAAACTTGCCAACATGTCTTATGTTTGTCCCATGCATTATGGTGGGTGTCAAGGTCACTTGAAGGTCAGATTAAGGTCATCAACCTTATATGAGCTTGGCTTACTTCTATGAATTAAAAAGTTTCTGAGGTAGTTTTGGAGCTGATTTCAAATTTAGCACCTTTTTGATTATGTGTAAGTATAGTTTTAGCTTTCATGCAACATGTCCCGAAGCTGTCAGTGGTGATCAACGCCTACTCTGGATAGCCGACCGGTCGCCTACTGGTTGACCGGACCTGACCTGACCCGACCTACCCCGAATGCATGAATACATCATCTTTGATCAAAATAAATGTGAAAATTTAAAATCAGGGCCTATAAACCACCATAACAACCACATTTTAAGAAGTTCTAGCAGGTCTCGATTTTCTCGACCTTTGGGTCATTGACCTTACCTGGACGGTCAATACCTATCAACGGCTTTCTTTCATCACTGGCAGCACGCCCATCTTTTCCGCGAAGCTCTGACTTGATCAGGGGCCGAATGACTGGGGGGGGGGGGCAACGGACCTCCCCCCCCTCTATACGTTAGCTGCCATGGGAAAACGTTACTACGGCAAGGGCTAATTGGCCATTAGTAACGTTCGCATTTAGGTACATACCTTTACCAGCGTCTGCAAGCAGCGGGTTCTCAGCGATGCTGCTTGCGGTGATCAATGCGAGCGCCGAGTGAAGTGACAGCGATGATTCGTGAACGGCTTCGCTGATAAGAAAGTCGGTGACAGATGGCAGCACCAAACGCTGCACTTAGGTCGAAAAAAGGGCTGGTTCACGCCAGCATGACGTCATATACAGTAACCAGTGACGATTACTACCAAGACAGTAAGCGATTGCGAGCAAATACCTCTCGATCTTCTCCATACGCTCGATATATGTACCTAATTTTGTATTAGGTGCCTACTAGCGGCCCTTACCGGGCCGGTAAAGGGGTGGAGGTTTGGGGGGGGGGAGACGGAGCAGTTGCCAAAGGAGGACCCAACCGATGGTCGGGTGCTTGGTTGCGATGGTTGGGCACTGTTCAGTGTTCAGCCCAGTGCAGTGGGAGTAAAATCGCTAAGGCTTATTACTCCCACTGCACTGGGCTGAACACTGAACAGTGATCAGGGTCTCCGACACAGTTTTTGGTCTGCAGGAGACCGACACAAATATGCATAACTGCGTACCCAATGCATAAAGAACCTGGATCTTGAGGCTAGCGCATCAGTAAGCGATAAGCATGCTCCTTATAGCGAGCATACCGTGCCCGGTGTTGCGCCCCCCTCAGAACCCTCGCAGCACATACCAGTACACACACAATGCACATACCATCGTACACATGCCGCACACAGCTCGCCGCCGCCGCCGCCGTCCCCCGGTCGACCTCGTTAGACCGGTGCAGTGGCAGACCGGACCTGTTCGGGTCCCAGTCGGTCGGTGCTGCCAGCCGCTCTCCACGAGAGGAGGTGCGGACGGCAGCAGTCACCAGGCGGCCCCCGAGCCAGCCGCCCAGCCGCCGGGACGCACCGCGGGTGCCGAGAAGCTCCACCGTCACCGGGAAGCTCTGCAGTCGCCGGAAAGCTCCGTCGTCACCGAGACGCTCCATCACGGCGACGATGACGAACCGTCTCCCCGCCCCGCCGCCGATGACGTCGAAGATGCTGTTGATGTTGTTCCTGGTGATCGCACAGGTGAGCTAAGAGATGGTGTTTGCTGGAATACTCGTGTCAGATGTGCAATACAATGTCATGGTTTCATTTATAATGGCATAGGTTTCATTTGATAACGTTTCGTTGCAATCCGCCGCTTTTCACGCCAGTTGTTCGTGAAAAACTGGTGTTTATCCGATTTCACCTTCCACGTGTGTGCGAGGGTTCACTGCACGTTGTAGCTGGTATTACCAGATGAATTTTTATTCAATCATCGAATTCCCCAGTTGCCCTAAGTCAAACATCATGATAATGACGTTCGGCATTACGTCTGATGGTGATGCCATTAACTGCCGATAAATATCGTCCGTCCGGCGTCCACTGACTATGGTTTGGTCGGTTTGGATGGCCGATTAACAGTTTATATCACAGGTAACAATAGCAGCCCATTAGCATAGTCATAACTCGACAATCAACAGTCACTACCACTGCAGTGGTAGTGATTACGTCAATTACGTCAGTGCACTGACGTAATTGCCGACCGATGTGCTGGTGAGGAGAATGTTCAGTTATCGATGAGTTTTATTTATATTCAACAGGCAACCTCAGGTGACGTGTGATGACACGGCTGTCTGTTTATAATGCAGCTGGTTATCTTGTATAGGATAATGGATAATGCACAATGCGAGTATATGCCCAGTGCACCTGTACGTGGAGGGCAAGAAAATAATCGGAATGCATAGTTAGGTATAATCATGCATCAAAGCATACCTCATCGTGCGTATGTACATGGTACTTACGTACATGGGTGTACACACTATGATTAAACATTTCCACATACCTAACACGGGAATAGCGCTTAACCCGCGCCCCACTGGGGGGGGCTATTCATAGCCCCCTCCCGTTTTTCTGCAATAACTTCCAAACCGCTTGACGTTTCGACGCCAAACTTTCAGTGCCTTCGGCTGCATCAGTTTGACACCTTGTTTCAAAATATGAACTTCGTAGCTACCATAGGTCGGCCGGAAATGATGTCAGAGTGACGTCATGTTCGGCCGATTTCGACGTAAAACATTGAACTACGGCAATCGTTCCCAAGAGCTCAGTTTTTAAGCTAGATCCAATTTCTTTGCATGAGAACACCCAAAATAGACTGTGCTATCAAATTGCTATCTCGGATTCTCAAAGGTTTGAAAATTTTGAAAATTATGTATAATACAATTCAAAATTTATATTTTTATCTTTTTTCAAAAAACTTTTGATTTTTCGAGAAAAAAAATGGAATAGGTATATGAGATAGAACACATGCTTATGACTTAGGTACTCTAGCAAGTTTTAGCTAAACATCTTCAAAAATGGCCAAGTTATACCTACGCATTACCTATGTATAGCAAAAGATTCACAATTATAAATTTTTCAAATCAATTTTTTTGGCACGTATTTGACGTACACCAATATAAAGAGCACCATTGTGTTCCTGAGCTCAAAGTGCATCCGATAGACACTTTTTTGGTTGAACAATTTTAACCTTAAAATTTGACCTTTTTTGACCTGATAGTGGCCTGACCTCAGCTATATTCAACTCAAAATGACCTCAAATGACACAAAGGACATTGAATTCGAAATCTATGACCTAAATTGACCATAAAACATGTGTCACGTGACCGACGTATTCCCGTGACCTGTGATGACCTGACCCTGACCTGAAAATCAAAGTACAAGTTTGGTACCCTCAGGGTATATCTAAAGCATCTGTTCACGAGTGTGTAAAACAAAAATGAGCCTGATCTGACTTGTAAGACGGCGGCTAGAGCCCAAAAGGTGAACAGGCCAAACATCGACAATTTTTACTTTGACCTGACCTGTGATGTCATCGGTGACCTCGAGGTCAATGAAATTAGGTTCCGTTCGACAGTTTTTCCGGAGCTATCAGAAGCCGCTTGAATTTTTACGATCGGCCCAGTAGTTTCGGAGTTAGGAGGGGGGGCTATGAACTGAAGAGCCCCCCCCCCCCCCGTAGGTCTTGATTCTTGTCATCCATCAGTGTCATATTATTGTTGCAGCATTGGCCTTTCTGCATCCTTTGACGGGAAATGGGGCCCGCATTTGACCCAGGTTAATCAAAGGCTTCGCTGAAAAAAGCAGGACGATGTAATCCACGAGGTGAAGCCCATGGCACCCAATTTAAGGTTTAAGGTTAAATGGTGGCCTTACAGGTCAGATAAATGACCCATAGATCCCAACATAGCCAATCCAATAACTCGTTCTAGCTGTAGCATAGGTGGAACTTTGTGCCGAGCTGGGGGTGCCCGGGCGCAGCAAAGCCTCCGCCGCCTTAGCGGTGACCTTGACCTCCGCCGTCTATTGCGGCCCCAAAGCCAAGCCAGCGTGGAATTGGGACAGCTCGGGCACCTAGCTCGGCACAAACCTCCACCTATGTGTTCTAGAGATATTCGCCCAAATCCTAAATGCGACTTATGGGATGCATTAGCTTCAATTTTGCTGGTGAGGGCTAACGACACAAAAAAAAACAGGGCCAAAAAAATGATAACGGTTCATTGGTTAGTTGTAGGACAGAAACAGTGGGTTCTTTTTAATAATACCTGCAGTGATAAGATCCATCGGCCATCCAAGTGGATAGTCTCTTAAAAGGCATAGTTTTCATTCCCAGCTTGATTGATGTCCTTGAGTCGGAGCATGATTTGGTGGCATCATGTGAATTGTGATCATCGTTTTGCAAGAATCTGGTTGATCGGTGCGCTATGATTCTAAAATTCACAGCCTTAACCGTCTCAGAAGTTAATCCGTGATCCGGGATCAGCAATCCTTCAAGACAAGATTAAAGCGTAATTTGTTGTAAAAATACGCGTCCTGTAGGATTGATGTTCCCAGTTCGGGAAATGGCGTTCAACTTGTTCTTTGTTTTAGGCCCTTATAATAACACCATTCCAGGGCGAAGGGAGGCGAGAGTAGAATAGAGACATTTGACTGAGTCGACTGCTGACTGGTGCGCCGCAATGGCTAGGCACATATCGCCTGGACGATAGTGATCTGGTTAGTTGTTGATTTTCGCATTTTTCTCTTACTGAACTATGTCTGTAATAGCGATTAAAACTTATCGCCGAATTATATACTAGTGCGGATTACAATAGCGTGGGTTATATTCGAGGCACATGGTCCATCCGTTTGTTCGACAACCACCGAACTATTCACGTAATGACGAACTCGTGCGCGTTTAATTCGACGTGCACGTTTAACCCTCGCCGGACCTATTGGTTTTCTACCTACGCGCTGGCCGAGGGGGGGGGGGCGGGTACGACCCCCTCGCCGTTTCGCCCCTGGTGTAGCTAGCGCGTCGCGGAAAAAACGAGCGTGTTTGCGAGACTCATAATGGATACTAGATCCTGTAAGTTTCATTTCCCTGTGACATCTCCTCTGGCAGTTGCGAAGTTGCGACATCTGAAGACCGTGCAGAGGTTCACTTATGACGTCATAGGTCAGTGACCTGACCAGACTCAAAAATGCGGTTGGTGTCAAAAAAGATCCAGCTTGAGTCAAAGGTCAGGTATACCAAGTTTCAGCTCTCTATCGCCAGCGTGTTCGGAGCTATCGCGAAAAAAAAAAACTATCCTCGGCCGGTGAGGGTTAAATATATGTAGATAAAATACGTTGCAGATTAAATAGGTTGCGCCTTTTTTTTGGCTTGTGGCTGCTTGTTTCTTGCCTTTACCTATGGCGTTTTTGCTTCCCCAACAACGTATATTTTCGCTATTGTCACTTCTTATCCTTATCCACTTCTTATCCTTATCCTCCTTATCCTTCTTTTATGCTTCTTTTTCCACTTCTCATCACTTCTTATCCTTACAGCGCCAATCGGATTCTCCTTATTTTGACCACGATCGCTTGTTCTACTACTGTACCTAACCTATAGCACTTGTAAGCTTGTTTTGTTCTTTTCATTCAACACCTAAGCCAATTGTAGGAAGCCCAGCGAACATTGGGCTGAAGTACTGCTCTGGTTTTCGGTTGTTGTTTTTGTTTTTATTGGTAGGTGGGTCGTGTACACTGTACACTTTGCAGCAACACAAGTGGAGACAGGGACGATAAATAGTGCTACTATGAGATAATCACACATATGGATTGTGGGTGTAGGCAATCCGCTTTTATCGTGCTAAATTCCCGCCCTTCCTGACGGCGACGTTCATGGGCTATTTACGTAATATGCTGTAGACCACGTACGAGCATGCATCCCTATTGTATGATATGCATATTGCATACGGCACTGAGTACGTACGACATGGACCAGTCTCACACCCACTCCGCTCCAGTAAGTCAATCCCTCGAGCCGTCCTAATCCCAGGTCGATGCCCCACGTTACAAGATTCCCCCGAGTCTCCCAGCTGGGTCTCTGCGTTACGACACCGGCTTTGTTCCGTGTGTGACCGGTGACGGGGCGCTCCGGTCGCGGGTAAGCTGGATTTGTGGTCAACGCTGTGCTCCTCCGGCGGTTGGTTAGAATGAAGGTATGCGGTTGGGTGATTTGACCCGGGGGGTTGGCGATGTTTGGCGGAGAAGTGGAAGAAGGCTTCCTGGTTGGCCCGACGTATGTAATGTGCTCCCTGCTTAGGCTGGGACATTTGCATATCTGGTTCGAGTTTTTGACCGAGTTATCAGTCGCATGTTTTGCGTGGTTTTATCTTTGGTTTAGCGGGGTTATGTCGATGTTTCGAATCGATTTTTTTCTCGTTGGCCTCGGCATACTCAGCAATTGACCCACGACATAGCCGTCGCGCTTGATATTCAGAATAGCACGCAGTGCTAACGGTCAATTTCGCTGGTTTGGCCCGGGCAGCTGTCTGGTTCGGTCTGGGTAGCATAGCACACATTTCGGTTAAAATGCTCCGCTGCATTGAGTGGGGGCGCGGGACGTCTCGCTGGCACGGTTGGGTCGGCCGCGCTGGCCGCAGTTGGGCCGGCGCGGCTCGCGGGGTGGACTGGATAGGGTGATGAGGTTGACAAATTCCACGCCATCCTGCGCCATTGTCGAGATGGATAAAACCTCGCGGCTTTCACCACGGCGCGGCTAAGCTCAGACAAACTCTCTCCGCGACGTCCGCCGCGTCGGTGCACTCGACCCCAAACGGTGACCTGGCCCGGAACCGGTCACGGCGGGGCGGGGAGGCGGTCCGTCGCCACCGCAGGGCCCCTGGCCTCGGCGCCGTCCGACCGGGCCCCGATACCGCTGCAGTGTGGACAGCAGGACGTCAACCTCACCAGCCGGCACCGGTTCTCCCGGTCACGGAGATAGGCCTCCTCAGCCGCGCGCCGGTCACGGTCAATGTCAGAAGCTGAGAACCACTTGCGACACGGAATGCTGCGCGCATCTCGTACGCACGTTGCTGTAAATTATTGTTGAGACAGCTCGTTTGTTCGCTGTTCGGGTTTGCTGCGCTGTGCTCGGTGATATCCGATTACCGGGCCAGCTGCAGTGCATAATAATTCAGCAGCTCGGTGCGGACTGCGGATCTGCGGTTACACAAAGTGGGGGTGTACTGGAGAAAGAGGACGAGGGGACAAAGAGTCCGGTCTTCTTTGTCGTCGTCTCGACTCGTCCCTGTCCTGGAACATCGATGAGACCCATCTACCGCAGATCGTTCCAATTTATCAGCCGCGCATCCGGGCTAGTCTCAACCGTCTGTGATAATATCGGTCTATCGACAGGCACTGCTCATTGCTCACCACAGCACTGCGGTTAGCAGGGGAGGGGGTGGTGGGGAACTGGGTGGCCTCGCTCGGTGTGTGTGCACCGTTAGCAGAGAAATTTTATTTGTGCAAACTCACTATTGAAGGACATAGCCTTGATAGCCGGTGATGCAGCCAGTAGATAAGCTATGCTTCTCAGAAAAAGGTTGGGGCTTTATTCGGTTGTCTCGTAAACAGAATGCACGTTACGTAGAAAACAGCATACGACGCACATTGTGCATATCATGACAGTGAGGGGATTACTGAACCTCCATGCCTCCTGGCCATTAAATACAAGACTCTCAATGTCATTAATTCGTTAACTACATGGTTATAGAGCCTATTGAATCGGCCTTGATTCAAAACAGTTAACCCGCGCCCCGCTGGGCTATTCAGCCATACGCGCCCTGCTGGGGGGGGGGGCAGATTCTGCCCCCCCCCCCTGTCTAACTTCCGAACCGATGGTCGTAGAAAGACGGGGAAAACGGCAATCGAAAGCTCTCAACAAGGCGAATCTTAAGAGCCCATTTTTTTGCTTAAGTAGGTCAGAGGTCAGGTCAAGGTCAGGTCAAGGGTACAAAATGCAAGTTTCTACAGTATCGGCCTTGCACCGTAGTTGCCGCAGAATGGACTGAGACTGATTGCCCAAAACGTGTTCTTAGACTACCAAGACAATATTCGTTGCATACAATATCATTCAAAGGTCAAGGTTAAGGTCAGGTCAGGCCAGGTCAGGTCACCAAAAACAAAATATAGAAAAGGGCATGTGCGACACATGTTTTATGGGTCATTTTACCCATAGAATTCAATAAGCACACTCAATAAGTGATATGGACCACCTCTGGATGAATTTCAGGTCGAGGTCAGGTCAAGGTCAGGTCAAGTGAGGTCAAATTTTGAAGTTGGTTGTTAAGGCCTAAAAAGGTGTCTATCTGATGCAGTTTTTCACGGCGAATCGAACGGTGCTATGTTTGTTTCCGTGCAAGGTCTAGAACTTCCAAAAAATCATTTTTCAAAAAAATTGTGTGTCGTGACGTCATAAAATTTTGAATAACTCCCACATTTTTGAACTGATTCTTCTAAAAATTGGTATGTAGGTGCACATAGACTACTTCTCTGACATATATTCCGGTTTTTTTCGATACACTCAAAATTTTGGATTTTATAACTATTTTTCTTTATTTTTTTTTTATTTATCAGGATTTTATATCAGTTTTTTTGAAAAAAAATTTAGGCCAAAATCCAAAATTTTCAAAAAAGCGAGATAGCCATTTGATAGACAAAGTAGAATCACGTATAACCTTTTTTGTTACGTCTTGATTGCTTTAAAACTGAAGATGTTAGCGGCGTTTGAAATTTTGCCGTTTTTGAGGCGAAAATGGGGAATATGACGTCACTAAAACGTCAATTTCTCAAAAATTTCCAACAGATTTCGCTCAAATTTTCAGGGAACGTGTCAAATTAATGTATGATAAGGTACCGTAAGTTTGACGTCGCTGGCGTAACGCGTTTAGAAGTTATTGGCGAAAAACGGGAGGGGGGCAGATTCTGCCCCCCCCCCTCCCCAGCGGGGCGCGGGTTAAGCATTATTTCGTTTACCTCACCACACGACAACTACTACTGGCCAATCGATCCTTCTTCCAACCACATCTGACCAGCATCTCCCCCTCCACAGCTCCTGGGCCAGACGTCGGGCCAGCTCGCGGACGTCTCGCGGTGGGACGACCACACGTTCGATGCTCAGGCGACGGTGGCGGTCGCGCGGTCGCTGCGCCCGCAGCTCTCTGCCAAGGAGGCGCGGCCGTCGCCGCTGTTCGAGCCCCAGGACGACGGGAGCCCGTGGGAGAGGTCGGCATCCACCCCACGCCGCTACGTGTCGCCGTTCCAGGTGGCGCGCCTCGTGCTGCAGACCCTCGACACAGACACGGACGGTCAGTATATAAAACTCGTAAAGGGTTTGAACTCTCAGACACTGACGGTAACCGGCTACTGTCGCATGCGCTATTGCGATCTTAAACCGCTAAACGTGTTACGCGTGCTTTTGGATGACAGTAGGGATGAGTTTGTCTGAGGCGTGATGCTGATTGGCCTGCAACTTCATACATCTCTGCAATGGGTAGATCGAACTTTATGGACTCATCAGACTTGATGGTTAGGGCACTGGGAAGATCTGGTGAGTCTCCGTCTCTGGGGATCACCCATGTGCCTCCTCTGACACATTGCTGACCGGTTCAGCTCTGAATCACTGACGGACCACCCTGAGACCTGTTGGCCTGGGGAGGGACACCTTTCTGACCGGGTATGCCCTGCCCGCAGTGGGAGCGTACGGACGGTTCGAGCTGGTCACCGGAGTGACCGCCACGCTCTCATCGCTCTATTTCCCGGGCCTTTACCCGCCGTACCAGTGGAAAACCTGGCAACTGACGGTAAGCAGAAGGGGCATAGGGTCAGGTGTATCGGGGTGGGGGACCGACTGCCTCCCTGTCGATGTGAGACGTGAGTACAGAGTGTCGACCCATGGCGGTCGCTCCTGTCTGTCGAACAGATCGTGTCTATCGAGATCGCTTAGAGATGACACATGCTTTACGATACCATACGGAATCGGACCATCACCCCACAATGACACCTTCCACCACCATCTCTCACCAGTACACCACTCCGTTTCAGGCGGAGGACGAGCAGGCCACGCTGCGGATGACCTGCGACACCTACGAGCTCGGCAAGGGTGACCGACTGGTGCTGCGCGACTCAGTCCGCGGCCGGCGCACCTACTACAGTCCCGGCGACCCGCCGCCAGATGTCACCCAGCCCTTCATCCTGCTCGAGCTGCGCTCCCGCTCCGAGGGTCGGCTCCGCTGCTCGGTGAAGGCAGTGCGGGTGGAAGGAGGGTCACAGCTGGGTCAGGTCACCCCGGTCAGCCGGCCGGAGTCGGCTCAGCCGCAGCCTGGTGTCAAACCGGAGCTGGCTGAGACGAAACCGTCTGTGCCGCCCAAGCTTGTGACCCCCCAACCCAAACCATCGACACCAGCCCCGGTTGTGACCACTCAGAAACCCCAACCGGCGGCTAAACCGCAAACTCCCTTCTCTCAGAAACCCCAGAAACCCAAGCCAGCGGCCAAGCCCCGACCTCCACTCTCATCACAGAGACCAGTGGTGCCATTTGAGGTCGGAGTGGCCCTCAACCAAACCCGCCAGGTCGACCGGCCGGTGGACCTCAACGACCCGATCTGCGGAAAAGTCCAAACGAACGTCCGAATCGTCGGCGGGGAGGTGGTGCCTCGCAAGGCTCTCCCATGGATGGTAGGTGAATCAGTAAGGCACAGTTCGCAGATAGTTCGCAATAAAGATTGATCGTGATACAGACACTGATCATGCAGAACTACTGACACACTTATAGGATCAGATATCAATGTCACTTTAATGACATGTTCTTACATTGAATACGCAAAGTTATAGACTTCTGCCATTTATGTTTGTTTTCATTAAGTTTCATGTTTTGATTATGATACATTTTAGACGGCGTGAATAGTCCATCCTGACGTAGCACCTGACCGATTGCCAGGTGGGCATCACCAGCCTGATCGGTCGAGGCCCGTACTGTGGCGGCAGTATCATCAACGAGCGCTTCATCCTGACAGCCGCCCACTGCGTCAAAAAGTGAGTAACGTCCTGACAGCCGCCCACTGCGTCAAAAAGTGAGTAACGTCCTGACCACCGCCCACTGCGTCAAAAAGTGAGTAACGTCCTGACTGCCGCCCACTGCGTCAAAAAGTGGGCGACATCCTGTCATGCCAGATGGGCGATGCGATACAGTCTTTTCTAGTCGACCTATATATTCCAGTAAAGTCATTAGTTATGTCCACTTTTATCTTGGTTATACCTTTAAAGTGTGTATAAAATGTTTGTAAGCATGTTGTCGCCAACATTTTACGCAAAGCTTATATGCTGCCTTCTTTTGACAGATATTTTACATTTGCCTTTCAGCCGAGAAGCAAGTCGTATTTCCGTACTGGTTAGAAAGTACAAACGATACAGGGACGAAGATCAAATTCGATTCTACGTCAAGCAAATCATCAAACATCCCGACTACAACAAGATCCGCTCCGACAGCGACATCGCAATCTTGGAGTGAGTGTTGATGTGCAGCGCGTGGTAAATAGTTGTTACCGTATGCTTAAAAGTCCAAGGGGTAATCGCCAGGGAAGAAGCCGTATAAACTGGAAGGAGAATACGATGGGTAAACGAACGTTTACTAGTTATTACCGTGCAGAATGCTTTTTTGTAAAAGGAGATCGAATATGGCTAAAAAATGCACATTTGCGCTGTGTGTTACTAAATGCACATAGCACGAATAATTAAACTGAGAAGAAGCAATTTGCAATCGAAAGAGGCAAATGATCTCACATGAAACGGATCGAACGATTGCACCCAATCACTAATGTCAAAATGAACCACCCTGCACTCATTCTAACCCACCACCACTCCCCGCAGGCTGAGGGACACCCTTCGAGAGCTGATCTCCAGCGAGGACGGCCGTGTGCGACCCATCTGTCTGCCCTCAGCGGCCTGCGGTGGCGGCAGCGGACCGGCGGAGGCCTGTCTGACCGGTCGAACCTCGCTGATCGCCGGCTGGGGTCTGCTGCGCCAGGACTCGCTCGATTACCCGGACGTAGCGCTGCAGGTCGAGCTGCCGGTGCTCTCCAACGACAAGTGCGCGGAGGATTACGCCAACGAGCCGTTTGTCATCACCAGTAACATGGTGTGCGCTGGTCTGCCAGAAGGCGGCAAGGATACGTGTCAGGTTAGTGGCATGTGTCAAATGGGAGAGTGTCCAGTCAGGTGACCAGAAGTGTCAGGCTAGTGGCCTGTGTCAGAGACCAGAGTGTCAGGATGTAAGGTCAAAGCCAAAGGGCCCAGTCATGTCAGGTGAGCACTGAGCAGGACGTCAGGTCAGCAGGTCGTGTCAGGTCAACAGGCCAAGATGTGTCACGTCGGCAGGTCCCAGCCTATCATACGTGACACGCAGAAAGTGGACGTCAAGAAGCCTGAAATCAAATCACGTGATATCCGGTATGCATTTGCGCACTTGCTGCTTGCTAGAAGACAGGTTATTAAGTCTCCAAATTTAGGTAAGGAACCGGCAATTACTCGCAAGTCGCGAACTTCAAGGCTCAGAATTACAGTCGTTATAACTTCTAAAATTGTCTTTTCATCTCGGGTGTTACACTGGGAAGCGGAAACAATCAGACGTAATGTCTCTTTTCTCTCTCTCTCTCTCTCTCTCTCTCTCTCTCTCTCTCTCTCTCTCTCTCTCTCTCTCTCTCTCTCTCTCTCTCTCTCTCTCTCTCTCTCTCTCTCTCTCTCTCTCTCTCTCTCTCTCTCTCTCTCTCTCTCTCTTTCTCTCTCCCTCTCTCCCACAGGGTGACAGCGGAGGACCGATGATGCTCAGAGACTCTGCTACCAAGGTCCACACCCTGGTGGGTGTCGTCAGTTTCGGCAAAGGATGTGCGCAACGTGGCTTCCCCGGAGTGTATGCGCGTGTATCGGGTGAGTACGCAGCGAAACAGTATATGAATACTGCATGGGGTAGCGGACAATAGTAAAAGATATTGCCCGATGACGTGACGTCACTGTAGCCCGGGGTGAAGACCAAAGACATTCTTTATTGTCCGAGGCATAGCTGAGAGTAATAATGCTTGTTGAGGCCTTCTCCCGAGGGCCAAGAAATGTTCGCATCTGAAAACGTAAGAATTGTTCGCACATAATGGCATACCTACTATTGCGTATGTATAGCAGTGACCTCATCTCAGATGTGCAGCGAGCGGCAACATCAATAACAAAACAATTTAAAGCTGTGTTTAGCTGATTGCTGATCACTTAGATGGCAAAAGATTGTGTTTATATACCGTAATACCTGCGATAGCAATGAAAACGTTTCTGTATCGCCATTCTTACATTTGTTTGTACACTGTCACTGTTGTGTTTCCTAGAACGTGATTTCTGAGGAGCGGTAACCCAATGTCATTGTTTTCAGAATATCTTCCCTGGATTCGTGAGAACACCGTTCTTTGATGGAAGTCTATAGGAGCGTAACGAAGTCGGTTCACGAAGACAGCGACACCTCCTAAACTATGTCGAGGGACACAGTCGTCCTTCAAATGAGGCGCGGTAATTGGAAACCGTGAACGTCTCAAAGGAAATGCATCAGCGGCGAGTTCGTCCCAAAAGTAGTGCATTGCAGACTGAGACTGATGTAAGTGCGCTGTGCAGTGTATGGATTAAATTATTCAACTGTACTGCTCTCAATGGTTATGTAAGCACATTTCGCAAACACGATCTGTGATATGCCAAACTACCGGGACAACCTTTTCTGAGTAAGGCATCCCGATTTATAAATGACTTAGCAAGAATCTCAGTGCACTGGCTCTAACAGGGCTCGACGGAGAAGTATTCTACGCTGGTTTATTGAGTCGGTTCACTCAATTTATGGGTGTGCACTGTGCAATAGTGCACCCGTACGCCTTTATGGTGTCAAGAAAAGTGAGCGAATTTGGCAACGGCAGGATTTGAGACGTGCTTGCCTCTAATCCTGACCATCTGATTGTTGTTGGAACAATGCTATGGTGTAATACAGTTGTCATTGTATGTGGAATAAACACCAAATGAATCGATTTTGTTCGCTCACGATTTTATTTGAGTCGAAAACGTAAAACACAAAGCCGTATCTGACAACTCTTCGACTAAAGATTATCACCATTTGTATTTAGAATGAGTAGGAAACGACGTTTGACTTTTCCGTATGCTTATTCAGTCTGGGATATCGCATAACTGGATCACAAAGTAACTATGAATTGTGAACACCATTAAGACACGAAACTCACTTACTTTATTCGATATTATATATGTGCCTAAGCTATTAAACAATTGAACTGCCACAGCTTCAGAACTCACTTTGTATGTGTTCACATTTGTGCCAGGCGAAAATGGTAAGATTGCAAGATGACGTTTTTTTTTATTATTCGCCAGTGACTTTTCTCGGTCACATCTAAACGGCTGTGTGATTCCATGCCGCAAGTTTCATGTTGCTGCACATCCCCATGTATTTGTTGAGTTTCCAAACACGAATGCAGAATGAAAGCCAAGTCAACGGTTTGACCTAAGACTATAATTTGCATAATCGGATTTGTCGCGCGGCTTCAGACCCGTCCACCTTCGCTTGCTGCAGCCTTCCAACATAAGAAATACGAATCCTCTGAGGGCTGCATACTCCTGGCTCCTACTGCTCAACTACTGCCAACCATCGTCAGAAGTATATGGCGCTTCGATCTCCATCGGATTTAATCAGTGAGATTATTCGATCCTAAGTCTGTGCAAAACTATTTCAAATATGCCAAAAAACATATTTCTATACTTCACTCAACCTAATTTCAACTCCGCACCGATATTCAATTTGATTTTGTACATCGTCAATTGATCGGCATGCCTACGACGTGACGTTTTGTTCTTCCGGGCAGTCAAGCCCCATGCGATTAGCTTTAATCGTTTCTATTATAATTTGCATTTGAAATTGAAATGCTTTGACTTGTTAAGTTAACCAAATAAAAATTAATCAGACTCTTGTATCACAACCTTTGCCGCAGGGGTGTCGATTTTTCAAAATGGTTGGGGGTGCTCAACCCCTGCACCGGGTGAAAGATTGCAGCTTTGCCATGGGGCACAACCGTACATACAAGGCATGGTTGGGTATCCTCATAAGGTACCTACTGATAATCCCGGGATTTCCACTAATATTTCCCAAAGGTTGAACGTTCTTCAGCATCATTCTGCTCGTCCTAGTAGGTACTTGGCTACCTTATTACATAAATATGTCTCCGAAAAAGTCGTACATTTGCCGGCAGCTGGTTGCAGCCCCAGCACCTCGGTAATAAGGCGACAGTAACCGATGACGGCGATTAGCACCGGTGCAGCAGCCCCTGCGGTCCGCAGGAGCGGATATTGCGCGGAGGGAACGGTAGCTACGAAGCTCTGGCGGTAATCAGACGATCACAATAATCTCTGATAATGACAGGTGATCGCATTTCGATATTTATGGGTTTACGATTTTCCAGTCAGTGGCGTAGCCAGTTGGGCCCGTGAGGCACATGCCCCCCCCCCCATCAGGTTCAGGGGCCCCTCGGGTTATTCGGGCCTGAGGGGCCCTGCGGCGCCAATTGGCCGCTGAGGGTCCACGTTGGCCATATTTGGACTAAGTAGGGCCCCACAGGGCTCGTAAGAACACCTCATGGGCCCACAAGTACCAACATTAAGATCTCCATAAGGGCCCCAAGCCAGCCTCTGAGGCCCACTTGCCGGCCTCTGGGGGTCCTAACCGGCCTATAGGGGGCCAGCTCTAGGAGCTGCACACCCGCCTGTAATGGCCCCACACCCATTTCTCTGAGGGCCCCTATAACGGCGACTGTGAGGGCCCTCACCGGCGCCCCTGAGCGCCACACCGGCGTCTCTAAGGGCCACACACCCCTAACTCTGAGGCCCTACACCATTGGCTTTAAAAACCCTACATGGGCGGTTCTGAGGGCCCTTGTCAGTTACCAGCGACCCTGACGATCCCACACAGGTGACTCGGAGGATCCCAGCGGCGTCTGAGCGCACCATACCAGTCTCTGAGAACCCCACAAGGCTCCTGGAGGCACCGGTGGCCTTTTAATATCTTCTTGTCGGCCTATGAAGGGTCCGTTCCGTAACAGCAGTTCTGAGGGCCCCACGCGCGCCTGTGATGGCCCTAAACCAGTGTCTCTGAGAGCCCCCACAACGGCGCCTGTGAGGGCCGTCACCGGCGACTGTGAACCCTCCACACCGGCGGCTCCGAGGGCCCCACATTGCCATATCTGAGGGCCCCACACTAGTGCCTCTTAAGGCCCTATATCGGCGGCTCTGGGGGCCCAAAATCGTAGCTTCTAAAGGCCCCACAAGTGCGCATGTGACGGCCACCCACCGGTGACATTTGAAGGCCCCACACCGGCTACTCTGAGGGCCCCATCGGCGCTGAGTCCGAACCGGTCTCTAAAGACGACCCCACAGGGTTTCTTAAGGTACCACCGGCCTTTGATGGCCCTTTGTCGGCCTCTGAGGGCCCGTCGCCGGTCTCTGGAGCCCCCTGCCGGCTTGTAAAGGGTACGCGCCAGCAGCTCTAAGGCTCCGACATCCGTGTACGACGGACCCACACCAGTGTCTTTGCAACTTACCGTTTTTTCGCCCTTCTTCTTAAAACTAACTTTTCTTTTCTTTACACCTTTATTTCATGCATTCCAAGTTGTGTAATTGTTTTAGTTTTAGTAGTGAAAGACTGCAGAACCAATTATTTTCTTCAAGCAGAGTTAGTGGGAGTTATTGAGGGACAAAATCATTGGGCGTGCTAACTGGAACATTCGGGGGTGCCCGGAAAACCATTGGGGGTGCTCATTTGAGCATTGGGGGTGCTGCAGCACCCCCAAAGGTATACAAATCGACACCCATGCTTTGCCGGTTTCTAGCTAGGCACCGAAAAACACTGGCGGCTCCAGGCGGGGCTGGAAAAGGAGGGGGAACCGCCAACGAAGATCTCAACTGACGTATGGGCCCGTCGGGTGTCTATTGAATTTTATTGTACGTAAAAAAAATCGGGGGCCGGCACCTATGGAGTGCGCAAAGACAATTAACTTAACCCTCGCCCGCACATGCCATTTTCCCATCCTAGAACGCACATGGGGGGGGGGGGTTGCCACCCCCCCCCCCCGCGCCATTTCGTTCCTGTTGGAGATAGAGCTTAGCAGTAAAGACCAAAAAGATTCTTTGGGAAGAGACAAATCCAATGATACCCAGTTTTACCTTCTCAGGTCAGTCATTGACCTTCCAGGTCAGGTCAAACTAAAAAATGTTGCTGTTTTGGGTCACCGTTGGATATCAAGTGTGCTGCTTATCAAATACCGATGACGATGCTGTTTTCTGGTGCCAAGCCAGCTAGAACCTCTTTGTCACACTACCCGACCAGAATTTTGCTGCTGAGGTCATTTCAGGTAAAGTTAGGTCAAGGTCAATTATATGTGTTTGTATGTCTGTGTGTGTCTGTGTGTATACTGATGTGTGCACCGATTGTTTTTGGGTCCATATTACATGAAATCATGATCTGAGAAGCTTTTACCAACAATGCAGTCAAAAAACTTCAAAAAAAGTAAATTCAGCTTGCCTAAAACGCAATTATCTTAGATGACCTAGGTTGACCTTGACCCTGACCTTGACCCCTGTACATCGTCGAACAACATGTTCCATGATAGGTGGGAGGTAAGACTGGCAAAAAAAGCCGAAATCAGGGTGTCAAAAGCTCATAAGGCCCATGGCAAACGCAAGATGTTGAGAATTGGCCATTTGGGTCATGACATGACCTGAAAAACAAGGTCATATCTCCGAAACCAAAAATCACAGAAACTTGAAATTTTCAGTGGACATCAAGAAAGGATAGAGGAGCAGCTATACGAAAAATCAGCCGTCTAGCTCAAAAAATGTTGAGTGCAGAGCAGAAAGACTACCTGGGGGGGGGGGTGGCAACCCCCCCCCCCCCATGTGCGGGCGAGGGTTAACATTAGTGTGACAAACGTGGCCAGGTCTCTATCCCACGCCCAACCTTCTGCGACCGCCGGCCGCCAGAACCCAGAACCAAGGTAGTCCCGTGTCTTCAACGCCAATCGTTCTTAGAACCTCATGCCAACCCGTGTGAGCTGTAAAGTTTGACGTCGAGCCTCCGTCGTCCGGAGTCCGGTGTCGTCAACCCCGGCCGGCCGGCCGACCCTGACTCCCGAGTCCGGTACGGCACGGCTGCGGTCACTGTGAGGGTCACCTGTCTCGGCGGGAAGGCGGAGACGGCCGCCGGCGACGGAGACGCTCACCGCAGCTCACTGCAGCTCACTGTCGCGCCGCCACTGCTCTGCCGGGCTGCAGAATGGCTCGACTGCTCTGCACAGCGCTCCTCGCTACCGTCCTGCTTCGGACCACCGCGCAGGTGAGGCTGTAACAGCGACCCGGCCGACCGCTGTAAGGTGGTGCAGGTTCCATGAAACGAGCCGACGGACGTCAATATTACATAATCAATGCTCAAATCCTTTACTATCTTTTCCCGTCATTTTTTTCAAAGAACTATTAGTTTTAAATTACCGGCGACAGCCGCTTAACCCGGCAGTTGCTGGGGTATTTCGCCACCCACCGTTTGCTGGGGGGGGGGGGCGTTAAACGCCCCCAGCCGATAACTCGAGAACCAATAGGCGCAGCGAAACGCACGAGGCGGCAAACGAAAGAACGCGACGAGACGCTTCAGATGAGTACTTTAAAGTTGAATTTTGAGGTCACAGGTCGGGTCAAGGTCAGGTCAAACACCTGAAATCGGGCTTTCAGTAGCATGGAGTTCAGGACTTCGCAATGGGCGCCTCTCGTCAGAAACTCTGTCAAAACGGAGCACAATCCATCATATAAGGCCTACAAGAGTGTCAGTTTCATGTAGGGGTCAGTCAAGCATAGGTCAGGGTCAAGGTCAGGTCAACCGGGTAGGCACATATCCCCGAAAATCAAAACTGTTATTCGCAGCCTATGACACATGTTTTATGGGTAATTTGGGCCGTAGAACACGATGGTGACATTCATTTTATCATATGTGTACGTGTTTGGCTCAAAAAGTTCAATTTAAGAAATTCATGTATCATGGTCGTGAAGTAGTCACGAGAAATTGTCAAGATTCAGTTCAAGATTTTGGAAAATGCGGAACGATAATCAATAATCGAAGATAGCCATTTGATTGTTCATGGTATTGGCATTCTAATGGCGTTTACGACATGTCTGTATGTCTATTCTGTGATTTTATATGATTTTTTGAACATATGCCGTTTTTGGTCGAAAACCCAGAAATCATGACGTCACTAAAACCTCGATATCTCAAAAATTTTCCGACCGATTTTTTTGAAACTTTGTCACAATAAACTTCAATCAATTCCCTACAGGTACCCAAAATTTGGCGCGCCTGCGGCGCGCCATTTTTATGCTATGGCCCGGCGAAAAAAGTGGGGGCGTTTAACGCCCCCCCCCCAGCAACTCGCGGGTTAAAAAGTGCCTCGAAGTTTTTTTTTATAAAAATGAAGGCATAGATAACATGATTCATGTTAACATGAATGTAATAGGAGAAATTATTAATTACGGAGCGAGCGAAGCGAGCGGAGTCTTACGTAGAATAACGGAAATTTCTGAGTATGAGCGGCCGGCCGGCCGGCCGGCCGGCCGGCCGGCCGGCCGGCCGGCCGTGCGGACGCTTTTGCGAGGCTTATATCTCAGCAACCACTTGACCGATTTACATGCGGTAATTTTTGTAGGGTAGCTTCATTCCTTCTACCAAGTATTGGACTATTCCCGATGCATGTGGGTGACCCCTTATGCACGTGCCACGTGCAAAACGAAGAGGTGTCACTTTTGTAATTGTTGCAATATTTCGGTAACTACTTGGCCGATTGCGCTGAAAGTTGGCATGTAGGTAGGCACCCACTAGGCACTGCATATCCATGTGCCAGAGTTGGGGTGCCGCTGCACGTGCGCACGTGCAGGGGTCGTTTCCAGATCTCGAGAACGGCTCGACCGATTGCGCTCAAATTTGGTACACAGTTAGGGACCGGTTACTAGGGTGCCGTGCACAAGTCAGTTGGGACCCATTTTGCACGTGCGCACGTGCAGGGTGCCGCTTCCAGATCTCGAGAACGGCTGGGCCGATTGTGCCCAAATTTGGCACATCGCTAGAGACCAGTCAGTAGGGTGCCCTGCACAAGTCAGTTGGAGGTACCCCCTCGAAATTTCGCACGTGCAAGACTCACCCGCTCGCTCGCTCCGTTAGTCGCCCCAAAAGGCGCTATACTGGTCATTTAGATATTTGAATTCCGTGTAGGACTATATATTCCCGACCGGGGCTGGGAAAACCAATACTAAATGGCGATAAACTTACAAGCGCGCTTTTCATATTATGGCGAATGATTCGGAACAGAGCGACTAAAGGGACTGGAAAATTCAAGGCGAAGTGAGTTCGCCCTTCTCCTATCCATGAAATCATGGTGCCACAAATACGTTATATGTATAGCGTGTGCACGATGAGGAGCCACTAACCTCTTGAGCTATAAGAGTCAACAGCTTATGCACCAGACACATGACCGCGGCTTGTTGACGAATTAATTCATTCGCTGTGAAAGAAACATCAACCATTCCGCACCAATGAAGTGAAAAATGGAATCCTGCTAGCTGCTAAGTATTTTTGTAATAAGCTTCCTGTTCATTGATGAGGATAATGTTTGTTCTGATGCATTAGGAACATGCCATTCCGGAAGAGCGTCGGAACGTCCGGGTGCCCTGTCCGTCCGACGCACGCCCTGGGCCTCGTTTCATAAAGCGAGTCCGTAACTTACACCGGTTTTTGGGCTTGTACGAGTATTGCAAGCGCATGTGAGGCGATAAATTTTTTCCCCTTCTCCCTTCTGTTCTTGCTTGCAAGATAAATAAATTCAACGATTCAAACTATCGTCATCGCTTCACATGCATTTGCAATACAAGACCAAAAACCGGCGTAAGTTACGGACTCGCTTTATGAAGCGAGGCCCACAGGTCCTAACTTCTCTGTCGCTGCGACGCACTATCAGATATGGTTGGATCTTCCCCATGATCCCAACGACTTATCCTCGGCCTCTTCCGATCTTAGCCCCCTACCTTCCCATATCTCATCCCAACTTTACCCTCTCAGCTGAGTCCTGCAATGGTCGGCTTGAACCGAAAGACCATACCTACCTACCAAATAAAAGTAAGAGGATTTCAATGGATCCTTTTTACCCCACATGGACAGAAAACCCTTATTAAACATTCACAAATCAATCTTACAGATTCACGATACAGCAACCGGTAATTTGTACTTTCACCGTGTCCTTTCCCGAGCTTTCGTGACCTTGGGGACAAGTCATGTACGTGACCGAGGAGCGGCTGGAGGCCGGACGCGGAGTGTAATGACACTGCGGTCCCCGCCGTGCCAGACAGGGGCCGGTCGATCACGAGTACCGAGATTGGCTCCCCAGATCCTCTCCAATGGCCGTGTGGAATAATGCCGGGAGATGGAATGGAAACTGGACTGGGAGCAGATTTGCGGCTACAGATGGAATTATTAGATGGTGATTTGGCTTTATGAATGGAACCCAAACCATTATGAAATGAGAGGAATATATAATACAAATATTGTATCCATATGGTACATTTTGACGGGAAAAGCATGTTGATTATAACAACAAAATTTAAAATGCGAGGGTCAAATTCACATGGATCACATCACATCACAACACCCCACATTACCTCACATCACATCACATCACATCACATCACGTCACATAGCTATAAAAATCAAATCTTAAATACTCCTAAGACTTGGGATATTGATGCATCGCTTTACGTACTACACGTCTACCCACGGTTACTCTATCCAATATCAACTAGGTACATATCGTGCCCTATTGCTGCAGTGCCCCAAGTACGATACATGATGTGCTCTGTTTCATACTATACACACAGAAAAATATTGACACCGTTAGCGGTGTAATTGCACAGTACGTATCTGAGCACTTGAGGAAAGTTAATTTAGTCCCTTCCCCGCTTAAATTACTCGCGCTTCTAAATGAACACCAGGAAGAAGGTAATAGAACACTGTTAGGAGGGTTGGGTGTTTTGCTACATGTAGTAAAACACCCAACCCTCCTAACAGTGTTCTATTACCTTCTTCCTGGTGTTCATTTAGAAGCGCGAGTAATTTAAGCGGGGAAGGGACTAAATTAACTTTCCTCAAGTGCTCAGATATGTACTGTGCAATTACACCGCTAACGGTGTCAATATTTTTCTGTGTGTACCGCATCCCCTATAAACTATACGTCTGTTGCCTGTCCTGCAGGGCACCCGAGTAAGGCAGGAGCCACCGTCTGCTAGCACACAGGGCCGGAGTGCACTGCTGAATGACCTCAGTGCCGTGCCAATCGAGGACTCCCACGATGGTAAGGACTCTCTGCAACGTCGAAACTTTCTTGTGTTTAGGACTGAGGAATGAATTAACAGAAAGTTATCCATCAATCGTCAATTGATAACTTTCATGGTTAACCTTTTCGTTTTTACTATTCTGTGAAATTAATCAGAAATGTTATTAAAGGGGTAGGACAATAAGTCGATTCGCAATGCAATATTTAAGCATCAAAACGTAATAATCTAACCGAAATAAAGGGCCTTTGTCTATTGTGCCATGCAGATCAAGCATGTCGCTTACTTGAGGCATCCATCAGGATTATTCATGCAAAATCTGTCGATGGATTTACAGATTTGTCAACGTCGTTACTGACCTGCATAGCGATGCACCATCTGAAAATTCTAACCGCAATGACCTTGAACGTGCAACCACTTCACATTTAAAAGTGAGCGACAGGACAGGCCATTCTTTGAGCTACCGCGTTGCGTTGCGACTTCTAATGAGACAGACTGTGACTCATCTTCCGATCCGGCAGCTTTCGAGTCGGACCTGAGGACTGCTGAGGAGCTCGGAATCGATGAGCTCACTCAGACTCGTGGCTCTCTGACTCGGATCACATTCGGACTCGACGCCGCTCCCGGAGAAATTCCCTGGATCGTGAGTTCACTGCATTATTGGAGAACTATAATATATGTACAATGCATTTGTTAGATGCCATTAAATGTTGTCAATAAATAACAAGGACAAATGACAAAAATAACTAATGGGTCAGCAACTGCATGGCAAAGAGGCACGGGAAGTTTTTCTTAGCATATGAGCTCAACGATTCAAAATCACAATGGTAAATGCATTTTCCCAGAATTTGCCTCGCTATCTTACCGGTATTAATTGGAAAACGTTTGCCCTCTGCAAAGATCGGTCAAGATGCGTCGATCATAGAACTCTGCATATGCACCTTTGCATGACCTCTGTATACAGAGGTCTATGGTCTGATCGATGACCGGAGACAAATAAAATACCAAAGTCTGCGCTGTTGTAATCAAACGAGGCTATTTAACACTGAAACATGCAGCGTACATTTGACATGTCAGCACTCTTGCAAAAATAAAACAGAAGAGGGACGGTAAAATTCATCCTCACCTTTTTTAGCAGAGGAGTGTGCAGTGTGTGCTGTTGTAGTACGTGCGTGCGCGTATTGTGATATGCTTATTGGATTCAGCGCCGTGATTTGTAGTCTGTCTCGTGCCTAAATTATCATATCTGATGAGTCTCTATCTCTCCTCTATCGCTCTCTCTCTCTCTCTCTCTCTCTCTCTCTCTCTCTCTCTCTCTCTCTCTCTCTCTCTCTCTCTCTCTCGCTCTCTCTCTCTCTCTCTCTCTTCTCGCTCTCTATCTCTCTCCTCTCTCTCTCACTCTCCCTCCCTCTCTCTCTCTCTCTCCCTCTCCCTCTCTCTCTCTCTCTCTCTCTCTCTCTCTCTCTCTCTCTCTCTCTCTCTTTCTTCGTCGCTACAGGCAGCCATCGTGTTGCGCGACCAGGACTTCGTGTTCTGTTCAGCCACGGTGATCTCCGAGTTCTGGCTGCTTACGGCTGCTCACTGCATCAGACCGTAAGTATGTCATTTGATGGTGGTCACATAATATGCTCAGCACACATCGATCGTCATATCAGACTGGCTTGCAAGAGCTTGTCTTTCTCAACGTCCTATCGTTTTCCGTGCGATAATATTGACATGCAATAAGCGTAATGGTTTCTTTCAGATGCATTGATTTGTACGGTAGCGTTAATAGCTCATTGAGAATTAACAGTATCGCTTTCAATGTCAAAGGCAAAAATAAATGCAATTAAATCACTTTAATCCTATTGTAAGAACATGCATGCCATATTGTACCGTCGTTGCCAACCTCCCTCTCCTTCTCCTTCTTGAATAGTTGTACTTCAAAGCAATCTAAACATCGAGGTGGATACCATAATTTAGCCAATGCCCTATATGCAAGCTTTCATTTTTTTCTTCATTTAGCCCAGCAGCAAGATCCATGTCCTTTCTTGGTGGACAGTTTAACCCGCGCCCCGCTGGGGGGGCAGAATCTGCCCCCCCTCCCGTTTTTCGCCAATAACTTCTAAACGCGTTACGCCAGCGACGTCAAACTTTCGGTACCTTATCATACATCAATTTGACACGTTCCCTGAAAATTTTAGCGAAATCCGTCGGAAAATTTTTGAGAAATTGACGTTTTAGTGACGTCATGTTCGCCATTTTCGCCTCAAAAACGGCAAAATTTCAAACGCCGCTAACATCTTCATTTTTAAAGGAATCAAGACGTAACAAAAAAGGTTATGCGTGATTCCACTTTGTCTATCAAATGGCTATCTCGGTTTTTTGAAAATTTTGGACTTTGGCCCAAATTTTTTTTTCAAAAAACTGACTTTTTTGGGAAAATAATTATAAAATCCAAAATTTTGAGTGTATCGAAAAAACCGGAATATATGTCAGAGAAGTGGTCTATGTGCACCTACATACCAATTTTGAGAAGAATCGGTTCAAAAATGTGGGAGTTATTCAAAATTTTATGACGTCACGACACACAATTTTTTTTTTGAAAAATGACTTTTTTTGAAGTTCTAGACCTCGTACGGAAACAAAAATAGCACCATTCGATTCGCCGTGAAAAACTGCATCAGATAGACACCTTTTTAGGCCTTAAAAACCAACTTCAAAATTTGACCTCACTTGACCTGACCTTGACCTGACCTCGACCTGAAATTCATCCAGAGGTGGTCCATATCACTTATTGAGTGTGCCTATTGAATTCTATGAGTAAAATGACCCATAAAACATGTGTCGCACATGCCCTTTACTATATTTTGTTTTTGGTGACCTGACCTGACCTGACCTGACCTTGACCTTGACCTTTGAATGACATTGTATGCAACGAATATTGTCTTGGTAGTCTAAGAACACGTTTTGGGCAATCAGTCTCAGTCCATTCTTCGGCAACTACGGTGCAAGGCCGATACTGTAGAAACTTGCATTTTGTACCCTTGACCTGACCTTGACCTGACCTCTGACCTACTTAAGCAAAAAAATTTGGGCTCTTGAGATCCGCCTTGTTGAGAGCTTTCGATTGCCGTTTTCCCCGTCTTTCTACGACCATCGGTTCGGAAGTTAGACAGGGGGGGGGGCAGAATCTGCCCCCCCCCCCAGCAGGGCGCGTATGGCTGAATAGCCCAGCGGGGCGCGGGTTAACAGTTAACGCCCACCTCCTCAGGTATAAAGCCAGCGAGCTGGACGTCCTCGTTGGGAAGTACAGCCGAGATGCCGACCCGAACGAGGTACGACGTCAGGTCACCGACATCAGGATACACCCGCAAAACGTGCCCTTCATCTATCTGTATGACGTGGCACTACTCAGGTAAGTCAACTTGCGAGAGGGAGAGAGAAAGAGAGACAGAGACAGAGACAGAGACAGAGAGAGAGAGAGAGAGAGAGAGAGAGAGAGAGAGAGAGAGAGAGAGAGAGAGAGAGGGAGAGGGAGGAGAGGAAAAAAGAGCGAGAGAGAACAGACACCTACCTATATACAAGCACAACTAAAAAAGACGATTAAAATAGCCAGGAAGCATTTGCCAGTTGTGTAGATAAGTATAAAAATCAGGCACATAAAGAACAAAACCATCGAAGTACCTATCCACACGTTTGATGAACACATTAAGCTTGCAGAGAGCCGGCGCTCCAACCATTGGTTACAGGGCGTGTCACAATGTCGAGCCATAACCGGCCGTTTCCGGCTTCCGCGTCACTACCGCATATGACTATAAAGCGCCGCGGATAGTTCAGAGATGCATGCTCGTAGCTACCGGGTGCCGACAGCTCTGTATAACCATGCCGTCCCAAGGATCCCCCTTCCCCCCTGCCCCTCTGATCAGCCCACAGAGTGCAGCATTCACTGGCATGAGCCGGTGTCTGACCATCAACCGCCGTCCACGAATGCACATGTATTCGCCCCTACATATGTATGTGTTTACCGAGTACAATCAGCCGCTCTGTGGCTTTCCTGCAGAGTGCAGCAGTCGCTGGTTCCAGCTGCTCAGATCGTCGACCTGCCTGTCTCTGGGTGCACTATCACTGATCCGGCGACCTGTCTGGTGGGCCGAACAGGACTGGTGGCCGGGTGGGGCCTTCTGCAGGGAGACAGTGAGTCGGGAGGAGGGGGGGGGGCGCTACAGGGAGACAGTGAGTTGGGGGGAGGGGTAGTGAGATTAGGGGGCTGTCTGGTGGGCCGAACAGGACTGGTGGCCGGCTGGGGCCTCCTGCAGGGAGACAGTGAGTTTGGGGGGAGTGAGATTAGGGGGCTGTCTGGTGGGCCGAACAGGACTGGTGGCCGGCTGGGGCCTCCTGCAGGGAGACAGTGAGTTGGGGGGGGGGGGGTAGGGAGTTTAGGGGCTGTCTGGTCGGTCGAACAGGACTGGTGGCCGGCTGGGGCCTCCTACAGGGAGACAGTGAGTTGGGGGGTAGTGAGTTTAGGGGGCTGTCTGGTGGGTCGAACAGGACTGGTGGCCGGCTGGGGCCTTCTGCAGGGGGACAGTGAGTTGGGGGGAGGGGGGCGCTACAGGGAGACAGTGAGTTGGGGGGAGGGGTAGTGAGTTTAGGGGCTGTCTGGTGGGTCGAACAGGGCTGGTGGCCGGCTGGGGCCTTCTGCAGGGGGACAGTGAGTTGGAGAGAGAGAGAGAGAGAGAGAGAGAGAGAGAGAGAGAGAGAGAGAGAGAGAGAGAGAGAGAGAGAGAGAGAGAGAGAAAGACAGAGACAGAGACAGAGACAGCCGGGACCCGGTGAGGCGCGCTCGTGTAGGCGATAAAAAAGCCGAATAAATAAAGGAGGTGTCATGAGAGTATTTGCTAGCCGGCATCAAATCATGCAATGTTTGAAGACGCGGAATGTCAGAATGACGAAGCTTTGAAATCATCATTTTTTCAGCTTGGAAGCCTCAATATTGTTGGATGGTTTTCTTGCCTTCCAAATTGCTATTATGCATCAAACGCTTCGACGCTTCGTCATTCTTAAATTAAGTGTTCATCGCCTGTGTGTGGTTAGTAATAATCACCATGCCCTTTTCATGTCTCTTGCAGCCTTTGAACTGCCTACCGTGCTTCAGAAGGGAGAAATACCGATAATTGACAACCGGAACTGCGCCCGGCGCTTTGGCCGTCTGCAGCCACCACCACAGATTTACGACTCCATGTTGTGCGCTGGAGACGAGTTCGACAGTGTCGACACCTGCCAGGCATGGATGATATAACACTGGATTGGTGTCTCGTGGAAATTAACATTGGGATCCGCGACATTGGGATCAGGCCTGCCATCTAGCGAGAGAATTATCGTAAGTTAGGAGCAAGCCGAGTGAACGCCATCTCTCACCATTATGACACACGTGGGTGTGGTGTGTTAGTTGGCTTGAAGTGCATATTTCCACGAGTTGGAGGTAATCTTACTGGACCCGAGGCGACAAAAATGTATTAAATGCTTGAAAGCCAAAAACGTCAAACAGCCTTTAGGTAATAACGAAAATAAAATGCGTAAGACGGTGTGTATTGAAACGCCCAGTCCCACCGGCTTGTACAAGACCTTTTATATGGTCATTTACTCGCAATGGTACGGCAGTTTGGCAATATGTCATGCACATTTGGTAGGCTTATTCCTTCTTCTCCGAATTTCGCCCGATTTTCTTCATCTTAGTTAATGTTACGGCACGTGCCACGTGCCAACTTAGGGGTGTCGAAATTGCTCCACATAAAGTAACTCCGCAATGACTGGGCCCATTACAGTAAAGCTTCGTCAATAGTTAGGCACCCAGTGGCCAATGCATTTCCATGTGTCACCATGGGGGTGCTACTGCACGTGCGCACGTGCGGGGTGCCGCTTCCATATCTCAAGAACGGCTGGGCGGATAACACTCAAACTTGGCAAACAAATGTCACATCGATGCTGCACTGCATTGATCATTACTTACATTGGTGCAGAGTCGTTAGGAAAACGATGAAATGAGATGCGTGGTGTTTATGCCTTTTTGTTCCAGCAGTTGATTGATCCACAACAGGAGATCCTTGCTTGAGAAGGGCGAAGGCTTCGTCTCCCTTTTCCACTCCTTGTTTAAAATAACATTAACAATGTACGAAGATCACACATCAAAGTTGTTTTAGGCGGCTATCTTGGGCCAGGGCTGCGGAGTTGTAGTCAGAGCCAGCGGTTCTGTTCCGACTCGGAGTCGGTTGATTTTTAAAAGCTGTAGTCGGAGTATGAGTCGAACGTCACCGAAAAGTCATCGACTCCACAGACTTACCAGGGCTACAGAGTCGGAGTCAGAGTCGGAGTATGTGTGAATCGACAATTCTGCCCGGAGGAGTCGGAGTCGATATTTGGATACCGGAATCGGAGTTGGAGCCAGTCACTGAAATTTCATCGACTACGCAGCACTGGTTGGGTCCTTTTCATAGAGCGTCTTGAATGACATATTGAGCGGCAATGACGTTAGCAATTCCGTTTAACTTTTTCATTAGACTTATAGATTAGTACTTAAGTTAGTTTTGTTCTTTGATCGGACAATTTGTTTGATTGAGGCCAAGTAAAGACTCATGTGAAAAATAGCGAAAACGACACGTGCTGGCGAAGCCTCCAATAACTCCCTGTTTCACGATTTAATGAAGAAATAACATGGAACTGCTTATCTTATTACTGACCCTGCACATATATCTATTAATTTCTTCGCTTTTACTGACATATAAAGACATAACCTTTTGAAAAATTGCACAACAAGCCTGCTACTACACCACACTCCCGTGTGTCACAATGCTAATCAGCGGCGTTCACTCGGCTTGCTCCTAACTTACGACAATTCTCCCGCTAGATGGCAGGCCTGAGCTCAATGTCGCCAAAAACTGCGGAGACACCAATCCATTATTATCTCATCCATGTGCCAGGTAAGGATGGTATTGGTGACAGGCTGAATACATTTAGATAAATACGTAAAATAACACGTAGTTGCCTTTTTTATGCATTTATGCATAAAAAGGCAACTACGAGTGATACAACATGCATTTTATGCATTTGTATCACTCTTGTAAATGTACATTGTACATCTTGCCTCCAATGTCTCCTTCCTTCCTTCCTTCCTCTCTCTCTCTCTCTCTCTCTCTCTCTCTCTCTCTCTCTCTCTCTCTCTCTCTCTCTCTCTCTCTCTCTCTCTCTCTCTCTCTCTCTCTCTCCCTCTCTCCCTCTCTCTCTCTCTCTCTCTCTCTCTCTCTCTCTCTCTCTCTCTCTCTCTCTCTCTCCCTCTCTTCCACCGATCGATGCCTGACCATGTCCTTCGATATCGACGGCGCTCCGAGTAATTGCCTTCGGATCGGCACAGCCACTTGCCCTATCTCGCGAACAATGAACATCTCTCGGCCTCGAATACCGGTCCGGCGCCTGCGAATGGCGTTCACTCCAGCAGCCAATTCTCCACACACATCGTATACCTAGCGACTGATGAGTGCTGATGCTGCAGATGGCAGCATCATGGGTTTGTATGTTTACGATGAGTATCAAAGTCACAGTGTCAAAGTGTGGACGTCAAAACTGAGAGCGATCTCTGAGTAGGATACTAGGTATTGACAATCGTGAACTTACTTTTACCTATCGAGGGTGGGTTTCCACAATTGATTTCAAACTTGTTTAAACAATAGTTATTACATATGCGTATATCATACGAAGCTTCTTCTTAAGACCAGATTGGCTAGACTTTATCGGTTTATGACCATTTACCAAACCGTATTTATTCATAACCACAGCAGACTGATCCGTCACCAGACTGAGTTAATTCAGCCGGTTCTGATTCTCCGCCTACTGGCGCTGACCTGTGGGTTGCCGACTATTCCAGGGTGACAGTGGCGGGCCCCTGCTGGTGGCCTCTGACAGTGGCTCCTACACGCTCGAGGGTGTCGTCAGCTTCGGCTACGGCTGCGGCAGGCCCGGATACTACGGCGTCTATCAGCGCGTCGCCTGTGAGTATTCAGACAAAATTCCCGTCGTCCGCTGTTTCGTGGCGTAGTCGTCATTACATAGCAGAGAACGAATGTGGCCGTCATGACTGATTTTAAGACTCATCTGATGTACTGCGAACAAAAGGAATAATTCAGCAATCATTGATCAGGTTCGCCCGCGAATAGCACACGAGTTTTCTAGGCTAACCAATGTATGAGGGAAGCAGGAGGCATGCAAACCCAAGGTGCGATTAAAATATAAGCCCTCGCGGGCCGAGGGGGGGAGGCGGGTGCCGTCCCCCCCCCCCCCCGATAGTGGTTTTTCGCGATAGCTCCGAACACGCTGACGATAGAGCTGAAACTTGACATGCCTGACCTTTAATTCAAGCCAGATCTTCTGACACCAACCGCATTTTCGAGTCAAGTCAGGTCACTGACCTATGACGTCATAAGTGAATCTCTGCACGGTCTTCAGATGTGGCAACTTCGCAACGCCCTCACTGCCAGAGGAGCTTACACAGGAAGATGAAACTTTCAGGACCTAGTATCCATTAGGAGTATCACAACTTGTGTGTCTCGGATTTTTCCTAAAGTCTCATATGAGGTCAGGTCATTTTCGTGACCACACCACTACCTATAAGTCAATGGGGAAAATGAAAACTGCTATTTTAGCGCCGAGAACGATCTCAAACTACCTAAACCACACGGAATCGTGATTTCATGCCATCCTTGCAAGTTTCGATGCTTCATCTTTGCACTTTTGACCTTGCATGAGGTCATTTATGACGTCACTAGGGTCATAAGAGTTTTTCGTCGATAACTCCTGGTCAAATTGAGCTAGCGAGTCGGAAGAGCCACCAATGGACTCGGAAAGACCTGCTGAATCGAATGATATGCAACATGACCTCATTCAACCAAGTTCGTGACCTGGGGGGTTCTGACCTGACCGTGACCCAAGATCAACACCAAAATTTGACCTCACCCAAACAAAAAATATACTCCATTCGACGTGCCTGAGCAAGGCGAAAACGATGCTGTCAAAATCGCGGCTCTGCGATCATTTTTTTGCGAAGTTATTCGCCAAAAAACCGAACCTGTAACCTGGGCCACATGACCTGACCTCAGAGGTCTCTGGTTGACCTGAGACCTTAAAATCGGGCACACGCTCGTTTCCTTCCGCGATGCTATAGCTCCATTAGGGGCGAAACGACGGGGGGAGGGTCGTTTCCGCCCCCTCCCCTCGGCTGGCACGTATGTAGAAAATCAATAGGTCCGGCGAGGATTAAGCATCCAACGACAATTCAGATCACTTGAGTTTTTGGTGAGTTATCATGATAAAAGGCACGAATATTGAATGACAGTCTTTGAATTGCTAAGTTAACATGTATTAGATATACGTACCTACCTAATAAATCAAAAGGTACCTATGTAAACGGTAATGTGTTGACGTTTAAACACAACAGCGATATTTTCACATATTGGCTTCTGGATGTATCATCGGAATTCGGAGCCATTATCCAACAAAATGGCAGGCTACAGAAATCGTTTCAAAACAACTTCTGAAAACTCTTCCGCTCATCTATGTAGTTTTGATCAGTCACACGAAAGACCCCATTAGCCTCTCGAACTTCCCACTAGATGTCACTGCGGTCGGCGCCGCGGCTGCCGCCGGTCGTGGTCGGCCGGTGCAGCGGACAGCAGCGGAGGCAGGTGCCGGAGCCCACGTATTGAGCCGAGACCAGGTGGTAGCGGCTCTTCCCTCTCTCCCTTTGATCTCGACCGCCGACCTTCTCCGGAAAGCATGCGTGGCGACCGATCGGAGTCGGCGCTGCCAAGGTCCCGCCTGGAGTGAAATGGGCTTCAAGGGTGCACGACTGCGCGAGGAGTGATGAATTGATGAAAACACAAATCCGCATTTGTGTCTATTTCCATATCATTGCCCTTATGTCTGTGTCTCGCCTGTTGCAGTCTTTTCTCATCTTCTTCCCCAAGCCGTGCCGTATAAGTACAGTAGCTCTTCCGTCTTCCTGCACTATCACCCATCTCGTTTCGTTGCAGCCGTCACTTCCTGGATCGCGGCTGAGATGGCCTCGTAGACCCGTGGCCCGGCGGTACTTCACGGTGGAACACTGCCCACCGGCTGCACCGTCCAATCGAAGCACCGCCACGCACCCTGATACGGATGGAGAACGTCAGAGCTTGACGGGCCGACTCCGTCAGACGGCTACGGTGGGCCTCAGCGGTGCTGGACAGCCGAAATTGGCGGTCTGAAGCCGCTCGAGGAAGAGTTGCTCCAGTTAGTGGTTAGAGCGGAGCGGAAGGAAGTACTGGTTGGTGATGTGAGACAAGGGTCAGTTGTAAGTGGCGCCTGGCGGCATGATGGTCTTTATTTCTGTACACTGTTATAGGTATTCTCTGTACTGCCAAAATGGTGTGATGGTATACGCTGCGCTACGTTTAGATAGTCAATCATTAATCCAGTCGACGTAGCTCGTTGTGATAAATGATAGGTAACATCAGTTTATTTTACTGTCGCATTTGTATAGCACCGCATTCGATGTAACTGTGTTTAAGGGCATAACAGAACTAACTCGGAGCAGACATTGTATAATGTGCCTTAAGAGCTCCTGAGTGATGAACCTATTGCTTTTAATGAATGCAGTTTTTACTGAAAGGCTAACCCAGTCTGTCAAGGCATTCGTCTCATATGCTTTTAAGATCGAACTAATGTAAGACACTGCAAACTTCGGTATCAACAGCAAAACGCCGTGACGTCGAGAGCCTATTCAGTCGGCATTCTCGTATTGCCACTACTTTTAGAAACATCTCGGTAGCTAAATGTAAAATAACTAAAGCAACCTACATGCGTCATCGCGTGGCGGCTATATAACATTTTGATATAGCTATTGGCTTGTGTATGGAATAAAAACATTCATATAAAATCTTCCAGAGTGGCATGGACATCTTATATAACCTTGGTACGACGGGTCGGCTTTTAGGAGATCCGTATCACAAGTTTTCTGGCATTGACCACGACGTAGGTATAGCATACAAAAACAGGTGAATATGGACCATGGACGCCCGAGTGGCTTATATAAAAGGTTTGATTGAATGTCTGTGCGATTCGATATCGGGTTCGAGCTGAAGTGCACGCTATATGGGCAGCTACCATGCATCTCATCGTCTGAACACTTCAGTACAAGACAAGTGCACTGATGAGTGATGAGTGATGACAAACTATTTTTTTTTTTTTGCAAAATGACAGCGCATAATTTTTTATTAGGACTTGAGACTTCGGTTATAAATTATTATCGAATAGTTCACTGTCTTTCTCGGCGGAAAATAAACAGGAAAGCTGGTTTCAGAAAAATATACCTTACCATCTCATATATGTTTGTTCACATTTTTAAAATAAATTAGATAAGTAAAATAACATAGATATTGAATATTGATACCCTAATGTCATTCACAGTAACAGATTGACATCGATTAGATATTATTCCAGTGAAAGCAATGATAACTAATTAAGGCCTCGAGATCTCAACATGCACTGTATAGCAACGCAAAGACATGCTCGCCCTCTGGCAGCATTTGGAGGAGTGCTGAAACTCCCTGCCATAAGGAGGAAAATATAATATGTAAGTCACGATTTATCGAAACCTTTTCATCTAGAATGAAAAGCAAATGACAATCACCACAAGTTAAAATGAATAGTTTATCGTTGAATGAAGTCAAAAAGAATACTGAATTCCATGGAGAGCTATGATATTCTATCGATCAAAATTTCAAATTTGACTTGATGCAATTATTAGAAATGTCCGCAGTCTAACAAATGAAGCATTCCAGTTAGTTCAAAGCCTGTCAAATATCTAACAATCCTGTAGCCTGTATTAGTGAGACGATTATCACCAGTAGCATATAGAAACACTAAAAATGGATCACAAGGCAGAAGACCAACTGACCAAGCTGCTTGACATTGAAGTTTCAAAGGACACGAAAAGGAGCAGATATCTAAATGCAGGTAAGTTTTATGGTGGTGTTTAGTTAGTAATGCTACATAATTCATGTGTTCATATTTGGGAACTTAAAAAGGACCTCTGATTCTATCTAAGACCTCTAACCTCTGCGCTCAACACAGCCGAGGTCAAACTGCACAACAAACCGACCGACATCTGGGTGTCCTTCCTCGGTCGGGTCTATGACGTCACAAAAATGGTGTACAAAAACCGAGCCGACCCGCGGATCAAGCCGCTGCTGGCCTACGCCGGCAAGGACATCTCCCACTGGTTCGACCCCAAGACGCGTGACGTAAGCAGCTGGGAGCAGAGGTGGCGGCCTCCGCGGCGAGGGGGGGGGCGGGGTCAGCAAGGTGCTGGCGGAAGGGGAGGGGCCAGGTGAAAGATCGCTGACTGATGGGCTGTTCAACACTTTACCGCGGAGGCACACACTGAGGCCATGTGCAAACACACGCCATCACCCGGCCGACGCTGTAAAGTGTTGTTCACTGTTGATGGTAAACTCAAACTTTCAAGGGGCAGATCCGCATAGTTCAGTCAGTAACATCTTGACGGGACGGTCGAATGGTATTAGGGACGCATTTTTACACTGAATGGCATTTCTTGGAGTAAGACAGGTAATCTTCATAAATTTAGTAATGTAATGTAGCTATGTAATACATTACCTTCATAAATAATCAGCTTGAAAGCAAAATGACCATGCTCTACAGTTTCAACACACAACGATTCGGACTCACTCTCATTATACTATCAACTGACGCCCTTCCTTCCTCCTCCGTCCTGCAGCTGAAGCGGCACGTGGACCCGACGACCCAGGTGCAGTGCCCCTACCTGCCGCACGGCCAGCTGCTGGGCACGCCGCCGCCCTTCCCCTCCGCCACCTGGGCCAACGACACGGGCCGGCCCTGGTGGCGAGACGAGGCGCTCTACTTTGTCGGCCTTCTGTCGGCCAGGTAGGATAGACGGTTTCGCCAAGTATAGGATAGACCGTCTGTCTCTGGGCAGGAAGACGGGCCGGTTCGACCAGGTAGGATGGATGGACGGTCGTCTCTGCAGCCAGGTAGACGGGCGGCTTTGCCAGGTATGATAGACGGTCTGTCTCTGGGCAATATAGACGGGCGGTTCCGCCATGTGGGATTGGTGGTCTCAGCCGGCGACTTTCAGACAGGTGCGACAGGGTGTTTTAGAAGGTCACGACAGGTGGCGTCTTAGAAGTCGGTAGGGCAGCTCAGCTGTACTCATCCTCAGGAATAGGATGTATCAAAAGGGCAGAGTATGAGTGCAGTCAGATGCACAGCTTAACGAACGGTGATGTATGACCCATAAAATGTGGTGTATGGGCGATACATCACGATCTTTGCTAGTAGAAAAGTGTTTTTTTTTTGTGGCCCTGGCTTTCATTCAAGACGACACGGCCTGAAACACGTAGTCTCCAGCCGCATCGGACGTGGAAGCTCTGTTCCTAGATCTAGCCATCATGCCATGCGGCACAGCATGATAGTAGGCGCTATGCTTCTTTTGTTCCTAGATGGCAGCACCAGTATAACGCCTGCGGATAGGCTGTGCCGCATAGCATGGACGTGCTATGCGGCACAGCATACCGGTAGGCGTTATACATACTTCTGTTCCTAGATGGCAGCACTAGTATGACGCCTGCGGGTAGGCTGTACCGCGTAGCATGATGGGTTGGTGGGCGACGGGCTTCCGCTTGGTGGAGGCGGAAAACGTTAATACATGCATAGGGGCCGAACGGGGGGGGGGGAGGCACCGGGGCACCGTGCTCCCTTTGATTTTGGCATTTTAATATTAGCCCTATGGGCGTTGCACGGAAAGAATGGGACCAAAAGTCGGCAGTGCCTCCCCCCCTTAATTGAATGTGTTCCGCCGCTACTGGCTACATGGTCTTCATAGTCTACAATTACAAAGTCTTCAACTGCGAGCAGAAAATCGCTATAAACTAGAGGGTGAGACAGCACCGAATAAGTAATTCTTATATAAGTGATACTTGACGACAACAAATGTGTTGATTTTGCTTACGGAGGCAGGTGCAAAGCTCTCAGAGTTCAGAGATTTATCCGCTTTAGCCGTGTAGATGTATGCATGCCTCCGGGAGTTCAGTTCGGCTACGACTGAGTCTTTTACGTCAACAAACGTATCTTGCTAAGAGATCAGCTCTGAGCTATATCACTCCCACGGCATAAAATCGCGGCTTTCTGGCACGGTGGACGTAAACAGGTCTCCTGGAGCGGCGCGGCCTCCATTTCTGCCGAGATCCGAGTCCGACACGCACAGCGCCGCCCTGTAAACGACCTGCGGCGCTCACACAGCAAAACAGACCGCCAGGTGTGCCATGTCGGCGGCGTAAACACGACCTGGCCATGGCCGCCGCGTCGGGAGTCGTTTTTTTCTGCGGCACATTGGCAGATTCCAAACAGACGCGGCACACGGACAGTGGTAAGTTTGTGCACGCTGAGAGCCGTGGCTAGAAGCGAGACTCGACCAATAAACACACTGGGGAGAGTTTGTGAGAACGCAGAATTAATTAAAGAACTAATCACAAGAGAATTAACATGCAGCAGAATAAATGTCAATTTCTGTAAAAGTTTATCCTTTCTTTAGGTGAAATGTCTGTTCATAATGCGAAATAAATTACGGCACGAGTTGGATATGAATAAACATAATATACGATAAAGTAATACCAATTTTTAAAGGAAAACGTTAACTAAGCCCAATGTACTAACCATATCATTTACACCACTCCTTTAAATTTACATAATAAACATACTCGTAATTAAATAAATTTATAAATATTCAGAGTATTTGAAAATATATTAAAAATGTCCTTTGTCTTAAAGGCCTTATAAATTAGCTGTTGCAAAAATATTTAACTTTTGTCCATTTGTTTCGCACCTATAACCACCATACCAAACTTTGGTCAGTGACCTTAGCTTTACTCCTTTCGTACGACTACCGATGATCGTACGATACCTCCCACGCCGAGCAAAGTTCAGTGAGTTATATCGCTTCAACTACCGGCCGTCGACGTCCGCCCTTTGAACCTCACCACAGGTCAGAGTTGATCCAGCTCGTAAAACTGTCGCCACCCCACCACCTCCCCAACTCCGTGGGCCCCGCTCTGACAGCCTTCCGGGGATCTGATGTCGCAGGACGCGTCGTATCCGGCTGGTGAACATGCTGACCCGCACGGAGACCACGCTGGCCGTGCCGGAGGAGTGCACCATGTGGGAGATCCTACAGCGACACCTGCCGCACAACTCACACGCCGCTAGCTATGTGTGGAAGTATGGTGATCGACTCCTGGACATGGATAAGACGTTGGAGCAGAACGGGGTGAGCTCAGAAAGAGACAGGGAGGGAGTGGATACAACTGAATTCACGGGAAACGTGAAAAAGATACATGTATGCTCAGCAACAGGAGAGAGCTGCAACTGTACTGGCATATATTGAAGGAACTGAGACGTGATTTAACTCTGACGCATCATACAAGTATTTTAAATCGATGTTAAGCATGATGGCATGATGGCATACTGATGTTCCATGGTGGTCACGTTTCTCCAATAACACATCGTACCAAAATTCCTCACCTTTTACTGGCTCGGAAGTGATCGCGACCAGCCGAGCGAGCACATTTCGTTTGCCGGTTATTAAACTCGCGAAATTCGAAGCACGCCCTTCGATTTAATAGCCGAGTGCAGTATTGTTCGCCGGCATACCACGGATAAGTCACTGATGAACCGAATGTGATTCGTTTTAGATCCCGGACCAGTACCAGGAGTTTTATAAGCTGGACATGGACGAGGACAGCTATCTGCCGGCCATCTTTCTCCACTACTCGGACGATCTCACCGAGGTCTAACAGCGGTGTCCAGAGCTTGATGACACATGTTCAGTGTCAGCTGACAACCGTCTCACAAGAACGAAAAAAGCGAACGACATGCTTTGCTGATCGACTATCATGGGAAGATTGTGTCATGAAAGTACAATTAAGTCATCGGTCAAAATAAGTATAAGTTTTTTTTTCAGCAGTTCGTATGAGCGTTTGTAAATCTTGGTGCGCCTTGCTCACATGTGGAAATAACGAAATAAAGTAAAATGATGATGCTAAATCTGAAACTATGCCGGGAATTCATGGAATTTCGTTTTTAATAAATCAGCTTAACATTGTCTGGAAAGCAATAAATACCCTGCATGTGACTGCTACCGACTTAATTCACCCCCACCCTGAGCCTGTTTCGGTTATCTGCCGGGAGAGCTGATGACGCCAAATGACGGATGGCGTCATTGCGCCGGGGACGTGACAATCACCTCGTCCGTGATGAAAGACATCGATCACTGCTATCCGCGGCCAGT